GATTAATTAACTTTCAAAATCTCTGTGGGACAAAGAGTCAGCATTGACTTTTTTTGACATACATATACACTTTATCAGGTCCTGAATATTGTCAATGTAACAAAAGTGTGGTTTCGAAAACCAAATGATGCAGATCTCAGTAATCCCTAGTTGCGAAACACAATAATTCGTACATCTTCAGTTATTATGCTTATCATCATATTTTCAATGCAAATATTGTCGTAGCAAATGTATCCCGAGAAATCAGGAACTTTCATCAAAAGTAGACGAGAATATTTTACAGTAACCAAATGTCAAATCTGGACAACTTGAAAACTTTGATTGTGCGTCGGTGGCATAGCGGTTAGGATGCTCGCCAACCGTGCACATGGTCCGGCGTTCGATCCCCGGCCGACACACTCCTTTAGCTCTCTAAGCCAGAAATAAAGCTGGTAAAGAGGAAAGGTTAGGCATGAGACCATCCTGTAAAATAAACACTGCTACAGAAACTTCAAGCCACTAGCTTGAGGCCCTATGTTCCACTGGGAACGTGAAGGAAAAAAAAAGAAAACTTCGATTGTGAAAAGAAATGCTTTATAGTTTTGGTAGCAATAGGTGAGATGAATACTGTTGAATAAAACACACAACTTAATTTTTGTTTTCATCTTGTAAATGATTTACTGCTTAACTTATTCGTAAGGTATTAGAAAACATTTTCTTCAGAAATTGTTTAGTTTAGTTAATGTGTCTTATTTACAAATAACAAATTAACTACACATCTTTTATAGACTGAATCTTTCTCATTTGTAGATTAAAGAGTAAACAAAAGTGTCTGAGAGAAAGAAAACTGAAAACAAACGACTTGATACCTGTTTAGAGAAGAACACTTCACCCATTTTCAATTTATTCTTCACCAAATCCTCCCACATGCTTCATGCACACACTGAAACCAACACACACACACACAAATCTACACACTTAAAGTGCATGGTTTAAACATCAAATTTTAAAACGTAATTATAAACAAATATTAAGTCAAAGTAGTAACATGATGACTAATCAACAGTATGAAATACAAACAACACCACACTTCCTGTTCCAAAGAAGAGCAATCTAATTAACTACTTTAACGTGAATTACTATGGTCAGTAGTGTTGATCCTAAAACTTAAAGTTGTTCATAAAAATTCATGTTTTTCTTGTCATCAATACACTATCATGAAATGGTTGTTGCTGATAATTTGAGACTTCATAAAAATAGATTTCACAGTCTGTTATAATTTACTATAAAAGTTTATTATTCAATGTGGTAGTAACAAACTGCGAAATTTATCTTCTTACATATTAAATAAATAAGAGGGGAAATTTATGAATTTTACCTGGAGGGCTGGGAAGAACTCATTAATTTCATTGTGTAGTTTTTATTACTGATCATAACCAACTATAGGCAAATACCATAAATAAACCAACATTAGGTAGCCATATCGTTCTGTCATGAAACTCTTCAGTAGTATAATAAAATATATAACCGTGACTACAATATTCGACATGATAAACTCAAATCCATCAACTGTATACTAATCTGGGGCTGGTCCTGTATCGCTTTAAAAGTAAGTAGTGATTAAAATTCCCGAATGAAGGAGAAAAATTACCATGTAAGTTCAGTTTGTTGAAGATGAAGTCAGTCTGTAATCAAATGTAGATAAAGTGTATCTTGCCAAGCCATGAATATGTTTAACAGATAAGCAGGCAATTCAGTGATAAAAGTTGTTCTTACGCTCATATCATTAATCAGTGATGCACTGAGATTACCAGGACTGTATTACACTGTCGTAAGGCACATGAATCCTTGGATTAACCAACCAGATAGTTTTTATTGGACTAACTTATTGCTTCACCTTAGTTCATTTTCACTGCGTATTTATTTGGATGACTATAAGGACCACCTATGCGGTTACACAAAACGCCTACTATAAGTTCATATTTTGCAAATGTGGCTAGAAAAGAAAGTTTTCAACCATAATGATGACACTTCATATTTTACACATTTCCTGTGGGAGAGAAGACCCCTTTGTATGAAAACTTTACACTGATGTGATTTCATTTAAGTTCATTCAATTTGTTGCCTGTCATTGTTTGATCTCTATGAGATTAATGCTGCAAATATCATCTCGTTAATCACCGAAGCGTTATACCAACACGAGATAAAGATGACCAAGTTGGATGCTAAATATTTTACATAAGTGACCTTCATGAAGACAAGCAGAAATTTAATTCAGATTGATGAAATCAACATCTAAATATTCATTTCTTAATACACAAAATCGTATTGTAGTAAAAAACTACAAATTTCTACAGTGACTACATGCTTGTCGAACAGGTTGAGCTTAATAAAAGCCACAAAGGCAAGGACAGCTGACATGTATCACTTAAAAATCATTAATCATAATTTGACCAAGTGATTCTATTTGAGAAAAATCATTTCTCAAAGCATAAGTGTTTCTTCTTTATCCTGTTGTTATCTCAGTTGGCTCCATAGAATAACTACTAAATTTCTAAAAATACTTCAAAGTAACTGATTCGTCAGGATTATTATTTACTATACGAAATCTTTATCTTCTAGAATTCGGACTAAAGATGAACAGAATTTTGGGTGGGAAGAAACATGTAGGATGGTACTTCCGGATGGACACATCGCGGGAGATTATTTCCTTTTGGTGTACCTAAAAGAGAACAAATATTAGTTTTGCGTAGTCCTATAGTTCAGTAGATATCTGTTCCATAGCTCAATTTCAAACTTATCATTATCCAACAAAAATATTTGGGATAATATAATCCACACAATTATTTATTCTATCTCTAGTATAGCTACTTGAGTCATTGTGATACACAATACAGACTACTGCGTCAAGGTAACAAATGTCGGTCAAGACCATGTGGAATCAGTAATGTAGTGTTAAGTCAGCGATCACTGACTGGTATAATTCAGCTAACTGAGCTTAGGCTATCTATCGATAGACAAGTATCCTACGTCATATCTACTAAAATACTTAAATGATACTTATAACGCAGGGAAAAGAGATTAGCAACAGTTTTTTAAGAAATATGAAATTATCTTTTATATTTCCAAACCATGTTCACTTCTAACAGTTTGAAAACATTTGGGCATTGAGTATATGATATTCATTATAATACAGGTTTTTCGTATTTCCCGATGAAAGACAAAACTATATTTTTTTACTGACGTTTCGCTATTCAACGCTGCTAATAGCTTTATCGAAGTATTATTAAACCAGAATTTACAAAATCTCAACTTATATATAACAACTTAAACGTTGTTCTTCAGCATGGGGTCATTTTTGCGTTGTCAGGTTGGTCAATTGCTATTAGCAGCGTTGAATAGCGAAACGTCAGTAAAACAATATCGTTTTGTTTTTCCTTCATTGGGAAATACAAAAAACCTTTATCATAATGAATATGAAATTATCATTTATACTTTCTAGGAGAGCTTCAGTTTACATCCAGGTTTGAGTATATACAGACATTAGATAAAAATGGAGTTACCGTCTCTAAGTTACTCACTAAATATTATGCCAGTCGATTAACGAAATACAACTTCTGGACTGAACTCAATTTCATTTAGGTTGAAGTTTAGAAATTTTCTTTAATCTGAAATATGGATTCTCTGGCCATTAAAAAAAGTAACAAAATTTCTTCAAAACTCCACTGAAAAATGCCATATGCATAATCTTCATAGACTTGTCGATCAGAGTTTACAACAAAATAAGCATAAATCTACACACCTTTAAAAAAAAAGTAAATAACATAGTCCAACTAACTGTATCATTGACAGAGTAAAAATCTTTCAGCCTCACAATTATGAACAATAAATTTTATTATTTATTTAATTTACAAATGGATCTGTAGACGAAATAAAGCGATAATATATAACAAATCAAGGGATAAAAATACTGCAAAATAAAAACACAACACTGAAAGTTGTACAAGCAGGTATAAAAAGTCAACTTCTTTCCAGGTTAAAGGGCAGAAGTAATTTCAAACCCTGTAGGAGTAAAATTGTGCACAACAAGATAAGAAAGGGAAGAAGAAGAATATGAATTGGTAAAATACAAATATATAAAATATTATACATTATGCAAAAAAGGAGATACCAACTGGGGTAAATGAGTTGCTTGTCTAGTTTCACTTCTCTTATACACAGTAAGCAATAATCCATTATGAGATTAGAATAAGATGAAAAGCAGGTAATGAGATTATTAGTTATTATTATGATTATTATTATCATTGTTCTTATAAATAACAGTAATGGTAAATGCTTTGTTTAAGAGACAGCATAAATAAAACGAATAATAATAGGCAATCGTTGAAAAACACAATTAGGCAAGAAATCAAGGTGTGCTGTACACAAAAAAGAAGATAAAAACTAATAGTTTACAGAATTATAGAGCTAATTAAATAGATAAGATAAAGCGCTTGCACAAGACAATCAAAAACACATACACACATCATGCATGATAATATTTACATAACAAGGCCAGAAAGCAGAACTGTCCATGTAATAAAAGTGTTCAAGGCACAGATAGGAGAGAAATAACAATAAGGGAACTTAAATTGCAAAATTAAAAAAAAGATCAAGGTGTATATATATAGGGACAGTACAAAGAAGTCGAGTATAAATTAACCATCATTCGATTTGGTCAATATCGTTATAATGATAAAATAATATGTCATAAAAGTATTGAAACAAAAGGCCATTATTATGTATCTGTCATTAAATGATGTTATAATCGGGATGAGTTACAATTAACTAACGAGATAATTTCCGCTCATAATAATCTTTGTCTACATAATTTGTCATCATGAGAACAAAATTAGTTCGAAGATAGAAAATGTGAAGGAATAACGTACACATATATCAGAATGATATAAGAAAAGGCGCAAAAATGTCCAAAAATCAGTGGTGGGAGGAAACCAAAAAAATATTGAATCAAAGTTAGCCAGTTAAGCAGATGATTCTCGTGTTACAAAAGACATCGGGAAAAAACCAATCTGAAAAAAAGTGAAATGGGCAAATGAGCGATTATATAGCGTCATCAAAATGTCATATATATATATATATATACCTACTTTCAGTATGCATACACTTTCCTACTCGTTTCCATCACCTGGAATTGTTAGGCTTTGGTAGTAAACAAATCAATATTGCGACCACAACAAACTGACAAGCTATGCAGGAATGATAAAAGACTATATTTTTTCTCGATTTGACACTCAGTCATCATTCTATGCATACTGATTAATTCTTTTACTCCTGTATGTGTTACACATTACTGCTACGGATGCGGAAAACAACTCGTTATCTACTGGTGAATTGAACTAATGAATCACTCTGACACTGAATGAATTACTTGTGAGTATTGCATACGATGTACATAAGGCATCAAACATAAACTTTTCCTACTGGTCTATATCAGCCGTTGAAGGTAAAGAACAATAACCTTCATAATGATTGTTATTTCATTACAACTAGCTGTGACCACTTTAAACTGAATAAGTAGAAAACAAACAAGTGGACAATTTAAAGATGTTTATATATATATATATATATATATATATATATATATATTAATATAAACATAACGATGTGAAAGTTGACAAGTATAAGTAACCCTTATGTGAATCAAGCCTAAGATAAACTGCAAATTTCTAACACACATCATTTTACGATAAAATCATACTGCCTATACCCGTCTTCTATTTTTATTACGACTACCTGAAAACGTATAAATTAAGGTGAATTCGGGTTTTAATCTATTGGATATTAACTTCCTGTTACAAATATTTGGCTGTATGAGGCTTAAAAGTGAGAACTCGAAGAGGTAACGATCATTTGATTATAGGTAGGTGGAGCAGTCTGTCCTTACAAGGTTAACAAAACACACTGCAAATACTATTGAAATCCTCTTAACCACATTTAATAATTTACATTTGAACAATCTGCGTCATGCATCATAACATAAAGACGAATCAATAAATTTACTAGTGTAAATTAGGATAGAGTTCAGAAGGTGTATAAAGTATTATTTTCCATATCTTTTGTGTAAACTAATGAAAAACATTTGCAAACTTACACGACCATTTAACCATCCTTTCCACCAACCTCTATCTTCTGCAGCTCGACTAACAACTGCAACTCGATCACCACCACTCAAACTTAGGAAACGATTGTTAGATGCATCATGAAAATCAAATTTTGCACGGACATAGAACAACGGTGAGGCTATAAAATTGCGAAAAGAAGACATAATCTCATTACACATGAACTAAAACCGTGTACGAGTTACTAGCTCACTAAAATACAATATAAGGCAGGTTCAAGTAGTCGTTATTATTCATATAATCTCCTGTTTCAAAATATATTGCTTTCATTTTAACTGTATGTAGGCAAAATTTTCTTCAACTTAGCCATGTTAATTCCTAACGAATTGATATCACAAATTCAGATTTAGAAATGTAGTATTTCAATTTGATAAATTTTAAAGTCAAATTCACATAATACTTCAAGTGCATTTTACTGTTGCAATGCAGTGTTAGTGATTTATTGGTTATTGTATGATTCTACTAGAATAAATCCCTAGTCATGACACCGTAGCTATCTGATCACTTGAAAATATTCCCCACAATGAGTCAAAAATTACAGAAGCCATATTTAACTGAGACAGTTGCGACAAATACAACAACTTCATTATTCACAAAATAGAGTCCTCTAAAAATCAACAGAAATTTAAAACAGGCAACAAAGGTTAATAAAGCAGGATTTAATGAATTCATCAAATTTCATTGAATCATGCTTTATTAACCTTTGTTGCTTGTTTGAAATTCGTATCGGGAAATAAATGTTTTCAATTCTTGAAGAAAGCGTTTCCCGGAAAGCACTATCAATGCACTAAATGATCTAGTGTAATTGAGATGTAGGATTGCTAAACACTCTGCACGACGAGATTTTTTGAAGGAATGTATTCAAACTAATATATATCCCCGGACATTTTACAAATCCTTGCGTAAAGATCATTTGAGACCTACACGACCAAATCTTTACCATCTTACTGAATCAGATTTATGCTCTGAAACAGATAAAATCAGTAATTTATGCGTATTATCAAGCAAACTGATCAGTGTGCAAAATGAATTGAACTTGGTATGTTATTTAAAATTCATTAAACATCTGCATGCCACTTCGAAAAAGATGAAAGAATCAGAATTATAAGAAACTGAAGTCACTTTTTCTGGAACCAACAAATGACATTCTCCCAGTGGATATATCTAATTATGTTCATAATTTATCTGATGTTTCCCTGTCAAAAGAACAAGCAGAAATTCTGTCATTGGGTTTCAACTTCTGTGTTCCCATCAAAAACATAAAGCAAATTGATATTGAATGCCAATTTGAAAATCTTTATGACCAACTTATGGGGCTACATGGTACATCAAGTGACAGTGAAAGCTGGTTGAAATCAAAGATGGTTGACATCAATTTCGAATCGTGTCGACCAATCAAAAGTCACATATCACCAAAGAACACTGGAGATCTCTACACATGCTCCGAAAAGACAATAATCTTGTTATTTTACAAGCTGATAAAGGACAAAGTGTAGTACTAATGAGTAAGACAGATTATATCGACAAAATGAATCAAATCCCCTCTGATGAATCTGAATTCAAATTGGATAATCATGCATTGGATCAAACGTAATCGACCGAAAGGAAAATTGTGCAGCATCTACGGCAACTCTTCAAAAAGAAATACATTGATGAAAATACACACAGGAATATCAAACCGATTGGGTCACAAATCCCAAAATTATACGGACGCGTTAAAATACACAAACCAGGATCGCCGTTAAGACCTATACTGTAAATGATAAATTCACCGTACCACAAATTAGCACAGTGGCTATGTGAATTGCTGTAGCCCTTGAGAAAACATTTCGGAACGTATATAGTTTCTGATTCATTTAAGTTTGTCAAGCAAATTAAAGATTTCAATGTATCTGATAAGCATCTGGTCTCTTTCGATGTTACCTCCCTCTTCACAAATGTGCCAGTCATTGAGACTATTGACTTTATATGTAGAGAAGCTGAAGACATAGCCATTCCAAAGTCGGAATTGAGGAAATTGTTACTTTTATGCACTAAAAATGTTCAATTCCAGTTCGACGGACGTCTACCACGTCAAGTTGATGGTTTCGTAATGGGAAGTCCCTTGGGACCACTTTTGCAGACTTATTCTTGTCAGGCCTAGAAGCCGGTACCTTGCGGCAACATATACAAGAAACGGATATATACCTAAGATATGTTGATGACATTTTTATTGTCTGTGAAAGCAGATCAAAAGCTGAAAACATGTTGATAAAATTCAACTCATGCCACCCGAATCTCAATTTCACAATTGAACACGAAATAAAAGATCTGAAGGATATTTTATCCAAGAATGGATATCCTGAGAAGTTCATCAACAAATACTCTCAAGAAATTAGCCCCTGCAAAACTATCCGAACAGTTCCAAAGAAATCTGTTTATATCAGTTTGCCATTCAAAGGAGATGATGTACAAGAAGTAGTCAAACGAAGACTCGATAAAGCTATCAAGAGAACTTATTATGCAGCAAAACTTGTTTTCCTTAATACCACTAAGCGAGTGCTTCAACAATCTGGGAAAGACCAATCGCCAATCCTCGACACTTTAAACCGCGTATATCAATCTGAGTGTGTTTGTGGTAGCAAATACATAGGTCGTACAGAAAGGCAATTGTCCACTCGCATGATGGAGCATTTGCCAGAATGGCTGAAAACAACTGAATGGAACGTGCCAAAAACCTCAATAACAAAACATCTTGTGGACTATGGACATGATATCGACGGTGTCAAGTCATTCACTATAGTCAGTAGACAAAGAAACAGGAAGATGCTTGAGCAATTCGAGTTTACAAACCAGGTCTCTGAGTACAAAAGGAGATAGTCGTCACTCTGAATCTACCATGGTAATACATTTTACTTATTATTCTACCTCTTATTATTATTATTTTTAGACAAAGCAATAAGAAGACGTCATTTGTCTGAATCGTGTAATGCAATAGCGCAACACATTTCGGACAATCTGATCACCCACGGACTTGTCATAGGAATATATATGAAATTAATAAAGAGTTAAGAGGTGAGAAAATAGACTTAGGTCGAGTTAAAAGGACATACTGAAGGTGAAAATAACAATGAAGATCACTAAACCAAATAGCAGAGGTAATAGTACATCTACCTTGGTATGTATCAAACCAAAGTTTACCAAGGAAAGTTTAATGTGATGACAAATTGCTTTTGAACGCATAAAGGTGGTTTAAACTTTCTAATTGCTAGGGTTTCCACAAACTTTAGGATACGTCCCAAACACGTTTGATAGATGGGCTTAAAAGATCTGTTAACGTCAATTTTATGTCTTGTCTCTATAATGTTTCGCAATAGAGGAGCAGGCTGCGAAGACGGAACTTTAGGTGAATATAGAGAAGATGGAGTTGATGAAGATAACCAACCAATCACAGTCAACGGGAGAGATTTAACAGAGATTACTTCCTTCACTTATCTACGAAACATCGTTTCATTCACAGACGAAATAATAGATGAAGGTGTCGAAACTAGAATCAGGAAGACAAGGTAGACCTTCAGCAATCTGAAACCAGTTTGGAAGTTTTCTGCACTCCACGGCATAAACAACAAGCTTCGGATTTCCAACACAAATGTGATGTCAATCAGTCAGTCAGTTCCTCCATACGGGTCAGAAAAATGCACAGCGAGTGCGTCACGAAGAGCATTTCCAACAGGTCATTTCAGACTTCCATCAACAGCTGATTTCCCTGGCTCCATATTGAATATCAAATGGCTGGCCGGCCATAAAAAATTAGCTACAAGGAACTCTGACTGTGAACGAACCAACCAAGAGTCGAGTGTTCAGCATACATGAAGGATTAAATGGAGACGGATTGATAGGGTATACTTTGAGGAGGCCGTCGAATGACATCACGCGCAATGGAGGCCATCGCTCAAGTGGAATCCGAATTGGAAGTGACGAGTGTGTCGTCAGTGCGAGGGTGAAATGGAGGAGATCGTGCAAGGAAGAGATGAGAGATAATGGGCGATCGTGGACGGAAATGAAGAGAACAGTACCAAATAGACGAAAGTGGAGATGTGTTACTGAAGCCATATGCTCCACTCAGAAACCAAGGGAATAATAATAATATAGTCCTACATAGTCGGAAGGGTTACTTAAGCGATAAGTTAAGTGATAAATAGTCATTCAGAAGTAATTCATAACAAGAAACAGAAAAAAGGATTGATAGTGGTTTAGAAAAATAAAATAAAAGGCTACTTTGACGAGTTTATTATACAACCGTTTATTCAGTTGGTTTAACCGCATCTGCCGAAGTTTATACAGTCAAATATGTATATTACGTTTACATAAACGGATATATATATATATATGTATATATATACATATATATATATGTATGTATATATATATATTACAGCGACGTACATATCAGTCTTATCGACTGAAAATAACTGGCAAGATATTACAGTGGTTTCATGTTTGAACTAAAACTCAGATACAGCCAACAGAGGCACATCTGAATAGATCAGTGAAGTCCTGGATATCTCCAATCATTTTGCTATTCAGAGTAAATTTAATCCTCAGCCTTAGTCAGTAAGTCAATGAATAAAACTAGGCTATTAATAAATAATGAAGAAAAAAGATATCCACCCTCAAGAAATAATTATAAAATACGTTCTTTCCTGAAAAACTGACTGACAAATTACACGTTAAAGGAACTACGTAATTCGATTTCTTTTTTTACATTCCCTTCGTTGATTTATGAAAGAGCCCTAATTCATAAATTAACTCATCGTTATTAGCAAGAGAACGCCATGTTTTGATGTCTTGTTTCAGCTATGAAAATTTGAAACGATGACTATCGGAGCGTAGTTTGAGAATAATCAATTACATAGCCCACATTCACTTTCACCTTGATATATATATATATATATATATATATATGCTGATTGTATATCACATATATATGTGAAGGTAAACAGTAGCTTTTCAAACTATGACACTATAACTTAGTAATCGATTTAAATGAATACACACAACCACACACACATACATGTATTGAAAACGAATCCAAGACACAAACATACGTCGACAACACTATAATTTAAATAGACATATATTCCTAGCCATTACTTTTCATTCAAAAAATAGACTCCCTGTTCCGTAATTGATCCCCGTAACCATATTGTTTGTCGATGGTGTAGTTAACTTGTCTTTCTGTTTTCATTCCATAAATTACAAACCAAAGTTAACGTTTAACACATTTAGTTAACACTTAAAATAAACAAATACAAACATTGACACCGATATACACGTGATTACACATAAATAGTCTCACTGATCTTAGTATTAATAAAAAAACCGAAATGTTGGAGCGATTGATAAAACTCTCATACCGAGTTGTAGCTATGATCTAAGTGCAATTTAGCAAACACATACATATATCTGCACTAATAATGAGTCGATTGTTTAGTGGGACAATAGTAAAAGGTGACGGAATGTTCGAACTAATCACTGAATAGCTCAAAATTGAGCCTGCAGGTTAGCCCAACTCACAAAGCTATAGTGGATAGTTGGTTTGCTCTAATGTCGAGTTCACTAGTAAAACCAACACTTTTCACGCATATAAAGTGGAACTAAATGATACCAGTCCTGAACAGAAAATGTTAAAGTTGAAATACTAACTATGGATTTATTGAGAGATGGTTCTTATCATAGAAAAAGTAGAACAGTCTGACCTCTGAAGAGATTCAATAATTCGTATTCAATCAACCAGACTTCTTTAAGCTGAATACTTACATCAAATTTTGTAAAGGAATTTTGTCTACACAATTTAATTTTCTTACAAATGACATAATATATACACTTTAGATGCCTTTCATTGACAAATAACACAAGATAGGTGGATATATATATAAATGATTTACTCACGAGGACACTTTTGGTAAGGATAAAGTAATGTAATATCAACTTCATCGAAACATCGATTCAATGACACTTTTGAATAATTCTCAATAACACCCTGAAAGAAAAACAAAATAATATATACATATATCGTTCTACTTAAGACATTTTGAATTATAACAGATTCGTATATCTGATGGTCAGACTAGCTGCAAAAGCCTTAGATAACCGGAAAACTTTTCATATAATGAGTGGTGATTAGAAACGAAATGGAAAGTCAAAAGTCACTGGAGTGGAATCGTACGTGAACATCGACATGTTCATTTCACCTTTAATTATCACTGATTACATCAAATTATTAGATACACGTCAGCAAAAGAATAACAACATACCGGTATACTTGAAAATTGTTCCAATTCACATAGACCATAAGTAATAGATGAGTTATCAGGTGATATAAAACGTTGTATACGTATATGTCGTGGATGTCCGAATACTACTGATAATGAATATTCACCCATTCTTTCAGCACTTTTAGACAAACGTACAAGAAATGTACCATCAACACAATTGTTTAATAGATTGACAGCTTCTAATCGATCCATTTCACCTATATACCTAGATAATACCAATAATAAAAGAAATGTAAAAAGAGAAATAGTAAAACACAAAAAATGCAATAAAAAGACAATTAACAAAAATAATTGTATAATATATTTGCATCTATAACACATGTGTTGCTAATTCACGGAACACAAATACATAAACTAGCCAACATTAATCAACGCAGAATCAGGTATAAGAACGTATCAGTTCATGCACTTTTACAGTTATAGAAGAATGCAAAGAAAAAAAATGAATGGGTGGAACTAAAATTATGTAAATTCCACTTCTTAAAGCAAAACACAAGAATAGAGAATCATACAAATCATGATAAAAGGATGTATTCCTATCGTGTGAAAACCCGTGGGATCTGAAAAATGCTCACATGACGAAAGGAAACTGATATGAAATATACGCATCAGTTTAAGATTATTCTATAGCACGACGCAAATAGGCTTTCTAATACTCTTCTATGATTTCAAACTTAAGGTTCATAGATAAAACGCTAAATATAATTAAGGAAATCCATAAATCGCATTAGACTGAAATGAATCCATAGAAGAGTACCAGAATGCCTCCTATTTGGGTCATATATACAGGCACATTAATTACGATCCAGTAACTACTTCGCACGGAATACATCTGTGATAAAGTCACTAACCTTAGAATTGAGTAACTCAGCTTTAAATGTAGAGAGGAAATTTTGTTTCTTCAAAGGTGTCTCTACCTTGCTTATAAGTGTCAACAGCAATAAAATTAAGCTTAGGATTTACTCATTATTGACTTTATCTAATATCTTTTAATTTTGAAAGGATACATGATAACTACAGTTATTAGGAAATTTGTCAACCTAGTTGTATAGATGGTACTAAAACAGTAATTTGAGGTTCTATAATCACGTGAAAGTAAATTAGAATACAAGTTGTAATGTAATTAATTACCCAAACAAATGGGCAGCTTTTCAAACACGTACATTAATCGCCAATACACTAACTTGCTATAAACACAGAGATCATTTATACACTAGAAGACGGGCGTTCTGCCTTACCTAGTTAACCAATCAAATTGATTTACATCAAAGGTAAGGTGATTTGTTTATATGATGAATAAATCAGTATAACCAAATAATCATATAATACATGAATTTATTTTTAGAATAACTAAAATCTTTACGAGTTGATCACGGATTGATATCAGTTAGAGAACCATTGGAAACCAGGGAGTACTGGACAGCTGCTGTTTCATCCTAGTTAGGGAATCATCGGCAGTACGCATCCACTGGGATTCGAACCCAGGACCTTCCGGTTACAAGGCAAGCTCGTATACCATTCAGCCACTGAGACCCGATTCTATGGCTCATGAATTCTAACTTCTACCAATTCGTGATTTAGCGCGTGACATATAATTGGACCTCACTGGTCACGACTTCTCACTAGAACTCCAGGAAACTCCATCCTGTCCAGTACTCCCTGGTTTTCAATGTTTCTCTAACTGATATCAATCCGTGATCAACTCGTAAAAACATAACTAACCCTTACAAATCAAACTATAGAAAATGACTAAAATTTGTATCTCATACAAAATTTTGTTCATAAACCAAACACATTTTTTTCATTTAATCACATAGCCAACGTAAATTAAATGTGTTATGTGATTATGTGCAAATATGTTTGACAGTTATTCAATATTATCAGCCTTAATTCATATTTACTAATTAAAATGTCAACTATGCTAATACCGAAATCACACAATTTGTTTTTGTCACTAAATTATTGGGAGTATTTTAACAGCAACCTGTTTGAAGTTGCTGCGTAAACACTTAAGAAAAGGCTTTAACAGACATCATCTATAAAGCTGCTTATTTAAGTGGAACTAACATTTTCAAGTATATTGCTTTGCAGATCATTGGATTAATTTCAAATTTGATCAAATCTCTATACAGTAACACCTAAAATTTATTCTAGTGCTCACTTGTGACCAACTACAGGATGAAGTAACCTGAAGTTCTAGTGACAAGTCGTCACTAGTGAGATCCACCAAGGTGAAAGTGGGGACAGCTACTAGCCGATGACATTGACTGATAGTTGTGCTATTTACTACGAATTTTAAGGAAGTTAGAATTCATCGACCAATGGACTGCATCTGAGTAGATGAATGGTCAAGGAGATGACTTTATAACCTGACAATCCAGGGTTCCATCCCTGCTTAGGTCGTGGGTGAGTACTGATGAAGAGTCGCAAACTAGGCAGAAACAACTTGTCTAGTACTCCCTGGCTTTTAGTGGTTCTCTAACTGAAGTCAGCTCGTGATCAAACTATAGGCAATACATTCCATAATGGATAAGATTTTATTTTGATAAATCACACAGTGTAGTACAGTTATATTAACTGATGACGTTTCGAGCACAAACTATTGCTCATAATCATATCAAGTTGGCAATACATAACTGCACAAGAAAGAATCTTATTTTCAAGTGTTGTTAGCTTTTTCAAACTTTGTTTTATAACTGCTGATAGATACGTACATAAGACCTTCATCATATACTTAATGAATTGACTAGAATTCTAATCACTGATAAATGGATCATAATACATTATCAGTAAGTGCACAAATATTTCTAAAGGCTCTGAGTGTGAAATGCTTCACAACTGATACATTACTATCATACTGTATTATTAATTCATCTTTCTGCTTAATCGGGATTCCTAATCAGAAGTGTGCGACTTCACCAATACAAGTTTACTAATGGTTTTATAAAAAAAATGTACGTCAAACTTTATGATAATTGCTAGAGTAAACTGATTAGTTATACAAGTATAAGACAGGGGTGAAAAGTGCTTCTTGATTGGCCTTAAGTATTCATTTTGACATAGCTGTGTTCTCTGAGCTGGTTGATTTAACTGAGAAGCAGCTTTCATCGTCCTTCTAGATGACATCTTCGGTGCAGTTTTTAGTATGAAATGAATTAATTTTAATTCTCCACGAATGATATGATTATATCTCCCGACAACCACTGTCGCAATTGGTTGTTAATTTTCATCTCTATTGATCATTTTTATTGGCTTGGAATTTGAACTTTCTTGTTATGTGATTTATTTCTATTCACTTGGTGAATTTGATCTACAGTAATGTGTCGATTAATCGCTGATATATTTGAGTACCAGGCTTCTAAAAATTCCCTGAAATTTTCAGTGTTTCCTCTATTAAAAATTTCTACATTCTCCCAATCGCTTTAGTGTCCACAATTATCGACATGCATCAATATGAAAGAATACATATCGTGCTTTTTCACAGCTAATTTATGTTTTTGAATTTGGATTCGAAGACGATGTCCACTTTGACCGATGTAGTGTTTATTGCAGTTCATGCAATTCATTTTGTAAATGTTGTTTATCTTCTTTTTTCTGTTGGATCATTTGGTCTGCACAATATCGAATAAAATGATCTATTGATAATACTTGTACGACTGGTACAACAGATAATTAGTGTAAATTTTGCAATTTCCGACATCCAAAATTTGATTACTGTCGACTGACTAATCGGTAACTTTAAAACTTCTACCAGATATTAAGCAAATAACAAGTCATGTAAGTGGTCCTCCATGTGGGTTCACTGAACACGCCTAAACAAGTAACAACCAATGGAGCAAGGATAGTATGAATTCATACAGTTGACAGACAGTACGTGAGTTACAGCTGTTTTCAAAGAACCAGCTGATAAATATTCAGAAACACTTTACATTTCAGTTTCATAACCACCTACATTAGTTTTTAGAGTAGTACGTATACTAGGGTGTATGCAATTCAAAGAGTGGTGCATATATGCTTGCACGGATACTGAATAGAAATTGACGAAGTACACATCATAAGACAATATAAGTAAGGGGCAGTGGTAATTATGGTAATTGAAAAACATCAACTAATATAAGAATTGACCTTCAGACAGACAACTTCAAGATTTAATAAGACCTAGAAGACTTAGGAATGTTTAAGAATCAAGAATAATATGTAAAACAAAGCATAAAACGAATACAGAATCACATGCACCACACAACATAGACAGTATTGTTTTACAGAATAACACATGTATGTTGGGAAGGCATTTAAATAGGCGTGCAATAAATATTCAACAAAGAGATAACTAGGTATGCAAAAAGCATCCGCTTTATATACATAACTCACAAAATCAGAAAAATTGAAATACTGTTATGATACATAAATAACCACTAAATTAGAATAAATAGGAAGACTACACCGTTCCCCACTTAGTATATATGAATACTGGTGTACAACAAGCAATATTGATTTCCATACACAGCTAAGCACTATTATTACCGGTCAAATTTATTATTAATGTAGATTGAAGAAGCCATTTCCTGAATTTTAAATGACACAAAGGGTGGTGAATACTTTTCGGTAGGGATAAACAAGTAAAAAATTATATATATATATATATATATATATATATATACAGGCAAATTTTACCAGGGGTAGGTTGACAGAAAGAAATGCGAATGGTCCAATGCAGGATCTGTCGGGAAGTTTTCAAATTTCGATGTTACTGTTGTTGCAGCCGAGGCAGTTTGCGTAGTTGACAGTGCTGATGGAAATAAATCAGCACACTGTGATAACTCCGGGATTTCCAATGCTGATAAACTACGTTTTTTTAAACGTCGAAACATTAACGAAGGATGTGAATTATTTGTACTAATATTCGCATTGACTGGGGCAAGAGATAACGAAGAACCAGGAGCATTAAGAATATTATTACACATTGTAGGCGAAAAACTATTATTCGCAACCAAATTTGTCACTGCACAGAACGATGGACTGGTAGGTGAAGCTTCATTAAATGAAATGAAAGGCTTCTGAGCTGAGGGACTAGTGTTACTAAATACCGGCATTCGTTCTGAATTAGATACTGAAGATCCCTGATGAGAAAGTCTCGTAGTGATTGGCTAATCAAAATAAACATTAAATAAACACATTAAATTCTTAGTTTTGCGGTACCCACAATAATAATGGTTATTATAAAAGTGAGCACATACTAACATGCTTGAAAAAAACCAGCTAAACATGCAGTAATTAGCACCACGATCACAATTAGAAACACAATATAATGACCTCATGCAAATCACATTCGCAGACTGGAGAAATAATGAAAGCAAATAGGCAGGATCACACATTGTAGACACTTATAAAATGTGAAACAGACCAGTCGTAGCCAGCAAGAGGATCATGGCAATCCCCAAGTGACGTGATAATCTGTCTAGTTTGACGTGAGCAATTATTCCCCAAATTATTGTTGTTATTACTACAATTGTTATTGCCATTGTATTGGTGAGGATAGTGTTCCGGTTCAAGGTTTGAAGAGGTTTCTTTACCACTATTTGATGAAACAGAACAATCTGGAGGAAGACTGTGACGACAAGTCTGTCCTATCAAATTTGACAGTGAGATCCCCGGACTGTCAGTACACGGCATAGTTTGTGTGCATACCTAAGCCGATTAACGATTATACAAGTCAAAGAAAATATATACATATATTAGACGGAAACTTTAACCAAAGATCACACATAACTGACAATAAAAACACGATGATTACTATTGTATGAAATTACTGAGAAAAATTGACAACAATCTATACGTTTACATCTTTTATGCACACTAACTTAATTTTCTTCACAAATTTCTCCATAATTCAATCTCAGAAAAGAGAAAACCGTCTAGCTCAAAGAGCATTTAACAAGATATAACGATTTCTCTGCCAGGGATGTGTACAGCATAGCTTAGACTAAAAAGTATGTTTAAGCAAGAGATGCTTTAAACTAAATCCAATACATATATTGGAATGTTCAGTTACATATAATATTAACGTTCTATCAAGCCATGTAGTTTTAAAATATTTCAACTTATTTCACAGACATATTTTAAATTAAATAAACAAACTATATACCTGGACAATGAAGAAAATATTCAAGTAGTAAATAACTATCCAAAAGTGTTTTTAAAACAATGACTGAGGTCACCAGACCTGAAACTACTTACCAGGATAACTAGATTACATGAAATGTGATAATACACTAATGAAGTTTGTATTCAACTCATCCTCAGAATTGATTATGCCTACTTAGCAGTACAAAGGCAGTATCGATAAACCAGAAGGTAATCAGAATAATAAGGATACCGATTCAAAATGCAAAACTACTGAACAAGTATAACAATCTGTATCACCTTATATGTCAATTATATCTAATTTAAAGTTATCCATAAAAGTTTAGTTGATTTCCCGTTTAGTTTTATTTCAATAGACAGTTGTTTAACCAGTGTACAAGAAAAAATTACATGAACACCACTATACTGACATAAAACAGAGTGGATCAACGCATTGAGAGAGAGAGAGATGTAAAACAAAACTAAATCCTATTCACAAAGAAGAATTGATCTCATCGTAATATTTGTCTACATATGATAACATTAGATGGTTGGAGGCAATCGGCAGGAAGCCTTCGACCTAGGTTTTGTGTCAACTGGCACTCACCAGTCAGCAAGGCGTATCTGCAGTCTTGAAGAAACTCATTTCCCTTCTGAGATTCGAACCCGTGTCACCCAGTACTGCAGTCACAGACGTTACCACTTAGCTATTCAGGCTCGCGATCGACCTCCTGTAGGACTGTATTGAATACTTTGATTGGACACCAGTAATTAGTGTCTGCAGCACTGGGTGACACGGGTTCGAATCTCTGAAGGGAAATGAGTTCCTTCAAGGTTGCAGATACGCCTTGCTGATGAGTGCCAATTAGCACGAAACCTAGGTCGAAGGCTTCCTGCCGATTGCCTCCAACCATCTAATATCATCAAATCAATGTGCTGTGATGGTGAGCTACCTAGAATGGTGGCCACATTGCAAACTTGACTGATAGAATTCAGTCTGCACCAAAGAAAGGACTAGACACATCACACTAGTTACTAGTATCCAGTCGAAGTATTTGTCTACATCTTCAGACTAGTGGGTTGAAGATAAGAATATCGTTTGACTCCACCGTTTTATTGATGCCTCTACACTACACGGTGAAGACAACGCAATGCAAACTAAAATAGTAATTCACACTAAAAATAGTGCATCCCAAATATAAACGGTCTAGAATTTTGTATAACATAACGACAAAACCCCTGTGCTCAAGCTATTAAAGAGATAACTTAGTTTTACTTAAGAGTTCCCTATATAACCATGAATATTTATAGTTTTTCGAAGAAATATTCAAGATTATATAGTTGGTGGGAGAAGTAGTGATAAATATTAGCAAAAGTAACATATTGATCTATCTGGTGTCAAAGAATGACGATGTATCACAAATTATCAGTAGGGTTGCCAACAATGTTGTTTTTATAGCCTAAAACCTATTCCGTCACCATACATACTTTGGCTCAATACTTCATGTCACATCAATTGAAAATAAACTAATATCTATCTAACATCAACTCGATAGATGCTATAAATTCACACATTGATACAAAAGCGAAAATATTGGAAGAACATTCCGTTCACATTATTATCAACACTTTTTGAGTGGTTCAAAGTTTAGTGATTTGCGAGAAGTGAACACTGAATGCCATTTAATTAAATGATATCAGTTTTTATTCTCTTCACATCAAAAAATGTCAGTTAAAAGTTTTAAACCCGATATATGTATTGATAAAATGACAACACTTAGTAAGGTTTGACCTAAATGCAAATGCCGTTCTTATCTATCCTTTAGGTTCCCCAACTATTCCGAGTGTCACACGGTTACGTTTTGAATTAGTTGTACTTTATGAACTGGTTGATTTAACTGTGAAGCCGCCTTCATAGTCCGTTTAGACAACATCTTCAGAGCAGGTTTTAGTGTAAAATTAACTTATTTAAATTCGCTATGAATGATGTAACTGTATCGCCGGGCAACCCCTGTCTCTATTGATAATTCTTAGTGACTTGGATATGTATTATTAGCATGTTTATAGATATGCATGGTGTATTGGTTACCACTTTACATACTTAAAAGAAATACCGGGTATTACTTAAAAATATCAGTAAACACGCCAACTCTACCATTAGGATTTGTAATACCGACATTCTTTATCTAATCTAACTTCCTTTCGGTATATGTTTATTCTCCATTGTATTGATTGTAGAATTTTTGTTGCTAAACAAAGACTTTTGGAGACAATACATTTTGCAAACCTGGCTCTAACTTTGGATACCGATACGCAATAACGAAACGTGAAATTTTAAGCTACGAACGGGATTGAAAAGAAGGCGTTTCATTGAAATATAAGGTCAACACAAAGGCCTCTCCGAACAATAAGAATAAAAGCTCATGAAAAATGAGTAAAACCATGACAAATAACTTATCAAATCAAACTATACACAAATAACTTACCCTATTAACTTTATTATTCGTAACTTCAACAATATTAGAGGGAAACCATCCTTCAGAACCATCACAATAACCCTGGTGTAGTAAAATGCAAAGAATATGTATGAATATAAAGTTAAGAGCAGCTCTGCCTAAACCTTATTCACCATTAGTGAGAAACTGCACGTAGAAGAAATGACTTACAAGAGAGAAGAAGGATGGCGCCAAGGTGAAAACGAAATGATGAACTTCAGTAAAAAATTCCTTTGTCTACTCACAGGCCAACAGAAAGGACGATTGAGTGCCTTAATTGTCAATTGAATCGACAACGAAGTCACTTTAAAGAAATATCAGTTGGGCAAGCCAATTTTTGCCAAAATCTGATTCGAAATCTTAGCAGCTCACAATCTCATTAATTCTAGGAATGACATTATTTACATAATATACGAGGTTAGCCTGTTTTCTAACAATATAGTACATTGAAATTTAACGAAATCACTTTTAGCACGAAAATATTCAAATCAAGCTTTTAACAGGATTATAGACTTCTTATATCATCTATCGTTGATTAAACTACAGTCCAATAGACATGTGAAGAGAAACTTAAGTCTCTTTAACAACTAAATAGCTAAGCTTTTAAAAACCAGAGGACAAAGTACCAACATTGTAGGAAGACAATTCATATTAAGTGAACCAGCAATCAACTTTCAAAAGCCTGGTATTTATTGTAATGGGAAGACAGTGAACTAGAAAAAGGGATATTGAATAACAGCAAACGTACTTATGTACTACATTCTGAAATAAAATCATAATATGAATATGGGTAGTAGTACTCATTTTATTATCCAAAGCTTGTTATGTGAGATGAATTTCATAACCTTAATTTACTGGATGTAGGTTTAATCCCTATCCAAGTTATACCTACATGTTTGTCGCAGAAATGAATACTAAGAAGGACTTCACTGCAAAAGTTACTCATTTTTACTAGTTCTCAAGTGTTGGTTTGCAGGGATTTGACTGATTTAAAGTTTGACCACGAATTGACTTCAGTTAGAGAACCACTAAAAAACAAAGCGGTGCTGGACAGTTGTTACGTCCTAGTTCGGGACTCTTTATCAGTACGCACTTATGACCCCACGTGGGGTCGAGCCCAGGACCTTAGCGCTATACATCACAAGTTTATAGAAATCAGAATCCTTGGGCCATTGGATTGCGTCTCAGCAAATGAATGGTCAAGGAGATCACTTCATAACCTGACAATCCTGGGTTTCATCCCTGCTAAGGTCATGGGTGAGTACTTCTGAAGAGTTGCAGACAAAACAACTGTTTAGTACTCTCTAGTTTTCAGTGGTTCTCTAATTGAAGTCAGTTTCTGGGCAACACTGAAAGTTTAATAGTTCTGTAATGAAGATATGAACTCCTGCGTTCACAATGATATGGTAGTAAACTTTGAAATAACTTGTTACCAGATCATTAAATACTGCAGGAAATGAAGAGTGGAGAAAATCAAGAAATTCGAAATTAACAGAATATAGAATAATTATTTATTTCAATGCATCTCTAGACAGAATTTGAAATCATACTTTCTTTAGCTGTAAAAATCTTCAAAATTTCAACCTAACGAACTATGCATAATAATGAATAAAATGTGAATTCAACTCACCTGCCACCAAGATGCACCTTCAGTCCATTTGATTAATTCAATTTGATCTCCAACGGATAATCTAAGAGGAATGCTACCTGAAGGTGGTAAAGGATCTGCATCATAAGGTTTTCGTGCCACAGCGAAAGTTGGATTTACAGGAGGAATATTCGAAGTAGGCAAACCAGAAGATATACGTCTATTACGCTGTAAAGAGACATTTGATAAGTTGGTTTGATCAGAAGCAAGCCAGTGATTCACAGATGTTAAGGTATCTGATAATTGTGAAAAGTCGAATGACTCTGAACTAGGCAGTGAATTATTTCCAGGCGTGCATGGAACACTTCCCATTGTTAAGTGTGAACGTCGACAACGTACCGTATTACTTTGAGGAGGAAGTGGAGGTGGAGCATTTGACGGAATTCCATTAATATGCGGATTGGCTACACCACGCAGTGGAAGATTATGATTTGCTAAACAGCCTTTATGTGCAGCTCTATTTGTCTCTGTATTTTAAGAAAAAAACAGTAGAACGGAATAAGTCGTCAATTATAGAATGAAAATTATTACATTACTAATTAATGTTTAAAAAAATCCATAGCATGTTGCGAAATTTCCAAAAGGTGTGCTTAAATTTCTACGAGTTGATATGTGTATTCCATAGCAAGTGAAAGCTCGAAAGAAAGAAATTCAAAGTGACAGTCCAATGCATTCTAAAATGCCTCTAAATGGGCATATACTATAATATCAAACTGCTTATCACACTTAGTATAGTAGAAATGATTTCAGGTTATGTATATGTAAGTTATTTTGACAGTATGTCATATGAATAGACAAAACAAGGCCTAGATTTTATGCAGATATAATATAGCGTGTATGACTATTAGAAATCATACCGTCTTAATAAAAAGTAAAGTACAACTAGAAAAGAAATCAATAGAATAAAAACAACAGTGAAGAAAAGAAACGAAATAATGTATCAGAGCAAATCAATGCCTGTCTACCAGTACATGATGCAATACATGCATACAAAATTACAGAAACTGTCTTTGAAAATATACAAGTTAAACAAAAAAATAGACGATTAGAACAACTGAAATAACAACTACAACAACATAAAACATCAAAAAGTATGCGTGATAGTTTGGTGCACCAAAAAAAGATAACACAGTTTCCTTACAAGAGATACCAGTCTGTTTACTATAAATATATACACATACACGTCGAATGTCCTGGTGTTGTTTTTTTTTTGGGGGGGGGCATCATTTGACGCTATGCTATCACCTGTATCAATTTATTTTTGCCTCCATGCCCTTTGAGTATTGGATATAATTCTTAATATATATCAAATGAAACTTATACGTTAACAAATATATTTTTTTCCGATCAATACAAATAATACTAATACCGGTAGAAAATATTCAGTCCACTTCTTTATTCATCTTTACACTTGTTCAAATAGTTATTATAAGGTGATAACATTTATGTGCGTAATACAAGTATACTTGTTTTTTCATACCGATATATATATATATATACATATATATCCATTACATATGTTCTGTTTGTTGTATATTGTTCAGTCGATGTACTTTTCTTCTGTTGATGTTATTCACCTATGCATGTAACTTCGTTTAACATTTAAAAGAGCTTAAAGAGGGTGTTGGAGAAATTCTTTCCTGCGTCTAACAATGTATAGGTTTTGAACGAGTATGATGACGTAATAAGTTTGGGAAATGGCTATTCCTTCTTTGTCTATTCTCTAATGTATGCAATTCGGTCTAAATTGCACACATTAGAAAAACTACATATATATAGATATATATACCTAATTTTCCTAAAATATTACAACAATTTTTACACTACTGTTTGTATTTCGCTGCCCCACTCATGACCTTGGAGTCCTATTGTTCGTTGACTGTTTTAAGTTATCAATGAAATTTGTGACTCTCAAGGTCACTCAGAATATATATATATATATGTATGTATGTATACATGCAATTGCTGTAAACCATTTTCGGTGTTGATTCGAGACAGTAAAAGCTCGCTACGTCAACGGTCTATTTTCTTGCATCGCGGGTTCGGTGGTATCGCATCGTGCCGTTGCTAATAGTGATTTGAACAGTAAGGCTGGCAAATCGACTAGGTATGAATTTCGTTAGAGCAAACTACCAAGTGTATTAACGGTTATATCATATTATATATATGACCTTATTTACTACAGTAATTTAACTGTAATACCTGGTATGTACCCGGTAAAATAACCACGAAACCGAGAGATTGATTGCATTCTTCAAAAATCTATGCCAGTTTCATTATTATTACTAACAATACTTCTTGAATATTCAAGTGTTGGTTTTTAGGGATTTGACTGGTTACAGGATTTTCATCATGAGCTGACATTCGTTAGAGAACCATTGGAAAACCTGGGAGTACTGGACAGCTGTTTCATCCTAGTTTGGGACTCTTCATCAGTACCCACCCACCGGGATTCGAACCTAGGACCTTCTGGTTACAAGGCGAGGTCGTATACCATTAAGCCACTGGGACCCGATCCAATGGCCCATGAATTCTAACTTCTGCCAATTCACGACATAGCGCGACCCCTAGCCAATGTCTTCGGCGAGTATTTGTCCTCACACCCGACCTGCTGCACCCTACTGGTCACGACTTCTCACCAGAACCCCATGTAACTGCCTGAATAGGGCAAGTCGCTAGTGAGCATCTCATTGATATTCAAGTGTTGGTTTGTAGGGATTTGATTGGTTACAGGATTTCATCATGAGCTGACATTCGTTAGAGAACCATTGGAAAACCTGGGTTCGAATCCCGGTGGGTGCGTACTGATGAAGAATCCCAAACTAGGACGAAACAGCTGCCTAGTACTCCCAGGTTTTCCAATGGTTCTCTAACTAATGTCAGCTCATGATGAAAATCCAATACTTCTTGAAGTTTTATTACCTATAATATTAATGCACTGAGATCTACTCTTAACAGTGTAAGTTATTTTAATACACGATTTCAAGATACCATCACAAACCGATATAAGAATAGAATTTGGGCACTGTAACAGAGTATGACTTTATATTATTTGAAAACAGAGTGACATAGTATTATTTAATGATAATATAATACTGTATCAGTGTATTTTATCAAATAAAATCATTATGTCATGGAAGTATCACAAGTTGCATGTGTAGTAGCTGTACAATTCTCAAGTTTACTAGAAAGTTTCGGCAAGCAAATATGAGTAACTGAACAAAGTATTGACCTATTTCAATTAACTCACGAAAGTAAGACAATGAATACCTACCTCAACTCGAATCAATAAGTAAGCAGAAATAGAAGAAGGATTTCAGGGTTAACAAAAACCAAAAAATATTTAAGGAAATTTCAAAAGATTGATTACTGAACAACGAATATTATTTTTGATAACTTCATCATCATTATTCTTAGAACCTGATGATGAAGTTATCAAAAAGAATATTCTTTGTTCACTAATCAATCTTTTAAAATTCAAAATGGTAAACTTCAATCGATTCAAAGAAATGTGTAAAACGTTTACCTGTAATCCATCAAAAATTATAAATTCTAACATATTTAAACAATGTTCAAAGTAAAAACATATTATTGACACATTTACAAGGCACTACTAGTTGCTAACCTCGACAACGATAACCTTGAAAGAAGATGCCTGTGATTAGCTTATTACAGATACAACAATAAGTTGGTTGTTTAAATGTGAACATTTCGAAGTTGTAGCCTCGGTCTTTCGCTCCAGGTGGGCAAAGATTAGATCTAATAAAGATAAAAGAAACAAAATGTAAAGAGGTTAAATGTAATTTTTAAGAGAAAGAAACATTCTTATTTATACACATAAATAACACTGTAGAAAGATGTAACTGGTTGAATAAACAGTGAGTCTAGAATGAATCTGAAATGTTTAACAATTGTAAGGCGATTAGTTTTGATTTAGTGGTTCGTGGCATCTAAAAAGATACAGATTCATAGAGATATTGTAACGACAGAGGACAAAAGACCTGCTAAAGCAATGTTTATTTACAATTTGATATCTCTCTATAACCAAATTATGTACACCTCGACTTAAAATCATCATTTGCACAGATTTTCCGTGTTGTGCTTCCTACTACTTCCTTTCGTACTGTGTTTCTTTATCTGCCTTTCGCGTCTCCCATGTTTTTCCGTAACGCTGAATAATTTGCTCTCTTTGACGTCAAATCTATCTCTCTGCTATTTGATATTTTTATACCAACGGACGTCTCTTTATATATTACTGTAGTACACGCCACAATACCACCTATCATTTTAACAAATAGTAAGATTCAATACCTCTTAGGACTGCATTATAAACACTTGACAGGAGCGTGAACAAAAGTATGCATGCCTTAATGAATTAAATCTAGTGATACATCTTAATCTAGAAATAAGTCAACGAACAGGAGGGGAAATAAAAGTTGCGTCTTTGAAGCAGTAGACATAGTGATTCCGTAGAAAACATATGGTATTGAAAAAGCAACGTGGATAAAATCAAAAAAATTTTCAATAGAAATCTAACAACAATCATGAGCATTTTAACAAACTGTCAGACTGTTCAATAATAATGACTAAAGATGCAAAAAAGAAACAAAGAAAAACAAGCAAATTTAAAAATGCAAAACAGCGAAAAAACAGTGGTACACACTGAACTTACAAAGCAGCCATTACAGCTTTCATCCAAGATGTACGTAATTCTTCAGATTTTGTAAAGAATGTAAGATTTGGTGAATCTCTGTCTCCCAGAATAGGCAAAGTAAACCCAAAGGAATACTAAATATGAAAAAACATAAAATTTATACAAACGTAAACTAAAGGAAAGATTAACTCAGCAATAAGAAACATTTAAGTTCATGAACATAGTTAAAAGAAAAAGAAAAAAAGAATAAAACGAAAGCTAAGACACCCTAGTGATTGGTGATTAGATAACTACACACCCTCCAGACCATACACGAAACTGGTGGTACTACACCAACAGGGAAAATCAAGTAATCATTCTGTAGGAGAAATCACTAAGAAAAAGTTGAACACTATAGAACCTGGAGACTAGAAAATACAGTGATGACAAGCTCAATTACTTAGACAAGTTTGATAATGACCTCTGCACACTGATGCAACCATCCAAGGCGACAATATGTATGCCTATTTGCTGATATCATATCAGCTCAAGCCTTTTCCAGTGAGGATGGTGTAAAATAACTTTCCAACATGATCGTATTGATAGTTAACAAGGTGAATAAATGGTGAAATGTACTGTATGATAAAAAGCAAACAATTTTTGTGTCAAGCAGTTTCACAGAAATTTACACGATTAAGATTTCATTTTATAAATAAAAATGTAGATTTTGTCAAAAACAGAATATGTGGAACTGATGAAGAGCGTGTCTATGATCTATGGAATACGAAGTACAAGTAAATAACTGGTTAGGAAATGGGTATATATATACATAATAAAGGTTTGAAAAGGTAATACAAACAGATAAATGTTAACCGCTTCTAGCACTTCACTTGTAACCAAGATTAAAAATTGTACTAACAGTTATGATGATTACAACTACAGAAGAAAGTAGTGGAAAGGGAAAATATCAAGTCTCATCTGCTATCCTTCGTAGAGTTCACTTAGTAACAGGACTAAATATAGAATGTACGCGATATGAATGACCTAGCCGTACTTGCTCCAGTAATGTTCTATGTTGCAGGTGTGTGGGTGATTAAGATTTATTAAAGCCACAGTCACTTAGATAAAAACACATATAAACCTAATTTAATCGTTTTTTGAATTCATATCTCATCAGTAAATAAATAAATAAACATTGAATCAAATTTCCCTCTCTTTTTGTGCGTGTGCACATTTATTGATTCTGTAGTAAACTGAAATGACCTGAAATTCTTGCGGTTGACTTACAGTCACTGATAAAATCATATAACTAGTTGTAAACAACAATCACCAGATATAATTATGAATAAACTGGACATGATGAAATAAAAATCCAGATAACTACTAAAATATACTCGACTCTATAAGTGTTACTCTGACGCTGAATTAATTACTGCAAACAACACAAGTGTGAGTATATAAAACATGGTAACCCGGAGGCCTCTGGTTTGGATAATGCCATACATCACACAGTAGAAAAAGGTAACGTTTAAAAATCAATTTTACTTTTGTGGTAATATGCATCAATGACTCTTTTCATTCTTTAACCAACAACAAAATATGTCACTGTGAACAACTGAAAAGGATATAATCTGTATTATCTAACAACTTTAGTGAGTTGATGTAACGGTGATAAAAATAATCAACTAACAAGTCAACACTCTTCAGTGTTCAGTTTTTGACTGATTATCTGACAATATTCACCTGGTCTTTTGAAACACTTAAATGATTCATTTCATTAGCTTAGTAAACTGAATCCTTACAGACCGTTAAGAATAGTGAACAACTTAGTAAATTGCACTATAAGCGCATTACACTAGGCTAAATGAATACTTTGTAAAAATTAACCGATTGTTACATTCTACTGGCTGTTATGTTGTATTTGTCCTGACTTTACAAAAAGTTATTATCAACTTAAACAGTCGAGACATAGTGTCAACTGACATTAAAGTATAAGAAGGAAGTTTCATCTAACACTAATCATCCGCAGTCATTATAGAAGATTTTCAGAAAGGAAAAAAATTACTCTGGTTAGTTTCACTGCGAAATAGGTGAACACCGACAAGTATTTTATGCATATACATTTTCTTCACGAAAAAGTAAAAAAGAAAGCATACGCTGCGCACAAAAAGAAGTAAGACAACAACAAAAGGAAAAGAGAAGACAGATAAAGAACAATAATATGAAAACAGGTAAAGGTGATTATCAAGAGGATATCAAAAGAAGGTTAATTACTTCACGTTATTTTCAGAATAAGGGAAAAAAGAAACTGCAACATGTTCACCAGTTATTTTGATCAGTGGTACTGACAGGAGTAAAAAGGAGACACAACGCCTATTTTCAGGTATAATGTGCTAACTCCAGTTAAAATAAACTGAATACAGAAAACAATGTTCTAGTCAAAACGTAGCGTTTATCTGCAGAAAAATAACTACTTATACTGTGAGAGATACTTGAAATACAAGGAACAAAGACATTTGCATAAGACTGCACACTACTGATTGATTGAGATGAGTAGTCGCACATCACACATATCAACCAGCAGTAGTGTTTGCTAGCCAGATCGAAGTGGTCTAAACACGGGACGGCCGTTTCATTCCTTTTATGCCGAGCTCATCAACTGTGCATCCATTTTGATTTAGCTTAGAGAGTCAAGTCAGTTCAAACCTACCAATTTCTGGCATACTACTAATAAGCGCGATCCCAAACAACCGAAACAACCTCAGTTTGGCTAGCAAGCACTACTACTGGTTGATATCAGTGGTGCACAACTACTCATCTCAATCAGTCAGTAGTATATAGTTCTCTGCTTTATGAATTACCATTTATCGTATCAAGGGGATCATATATTGTGATCAGAATAATTTGGTTTCGAGAGGAAGCTATGGTGAAATTTCACTTGTTGAACTGTGAATATTGTGAATTGCCAACCAATTTGTAAATTGTGAATTTGATTTAAGGTATAAAGATCGTAAAAATGTATGTAGGGATGGAGTAGCATTCGTGCTGCATTAAACCAAGCATTGTATTCTATCCGACATTTACCTCCTAAATTTTACACACATTCCTTATTATGCTGGAATTTGTGGCATATTTGAAAACCCCAAGAATGAATGTTTCAGAAGCTTCAATAGGGTGGGGTTTCTTTAAAAACTTAACTTTTACTATATGTTTTGATTAGAGCCTTTACAGAATAAAGGATTCCGTAGAATGCTTCCTTTTTTATAAGCACTCACTACATACAGAGATAAACCAGAACTGTAAATACGAAAAGAGATCACTCTAGTTCTAACGTCGACTTTGTGGTGTTTGCGTATTTTTTGTTCAGTTAATCCCATCATTCACATTTAATGTCCCTTTCAACCAAAGCCAATCATCATCATCTTCTTCTTCTGGTTTTGATTATTCACAACTTTTTGAAAATTCCCCTAGCAAGTCACACAACCTTATTTCCAGATCTCTATAAAACTTTGGTCTACGTGCTCTTTTGTCACACCGCTGATCTCTTTATGTCATACTAAAAAGCTGTGGTTATTATTATTAGTCCCCTAGGTTCCAAGTGGAGCACAGGGCTTCAACAGCACATCTCCACTTCATCCTGTTTTCTGCAGTCCTATTCAGCTGGCCTCACGATTACTCATAAGCTTTCATCTCCTCCCCACACAATTTCCTCTCTATAATTCCATCCTTGTTACTAAGTACAATGAACTGATATTTGCAAATGACCAGTCTTGTAGAACAAAAATTTTATGAATACGCGACTGAAAGCGGTAGAAAAAGAAATTATTGAAAAGATATCTTCCCCGAATTTTTCTTTCTTTATTGTCTAAGCGAGTATTTTGCGCATACTATTATTAGCGCACCCAGTCTTTTCTGATCCCTGATAAATAAAACAGCAAGCCTCTGTATCGAATTATCAATCCTTCCCACTGTTAACCAGTCAACCATAAAATTAAAAAAAACAACACAAGACTATCAACAGTACATTTCGCCTGATCTATAGAGAAACGCGTACTGTAGGTTAACTGGTCAACTTTTGCATACAATGTATAGAAATCAGTTATTTAAAGACATTAAGCAGAATAAATGAAATCAAATAGCTTTGACACACATAAGCTCACTCTGTGAAATGCTTTAGATCTTTATAGAGTTAATTCTACCCCTCCCCCAGTCCTTCGTGTCTCTTTGTGTCCTTTTTAGGAGTACAGCCTCGAAACACTATCGAAACGAACTCAAGATGATAATGTATAGAAGTGAATACACACAGCCCATTTTTTAGTAGTATAGTTAATATTGAGGAATGTAAACACTTCTGCATTCAAAAAAGATAACTGAAATTCGAAACGAAGTCCAGTTAGCTATCAAGTTCTTAAAAAACATTCGGTGAATACTTCTCCACTGCTTTTCAGATAAGAAAACAATTTCTTATTGGTACGACGTCAGATCCCGAGGAGTGATATTATGCAAACGTAATTAATGTGAAAAAGGAACCTATTTGACATTAGACGCTATCGGAAGTGAACTTTCTGCACAAGTATACATCTACCACCACTTGATAACGGCAACCAATAAGGAGTTCAGAACTATGAAAAAAAACAATCATCGATATTTTCAGATATCAATATTAAAATAACCGAATAATCCAAACTACTGTTAGAGAAAAAAAACACACCAAAAGGCAGACAAAGTACACGGCTTAGTGGACTTTCGTACATTCTTATACAACTATTTACAAATGTTAAGACTGATACGGTATTATGAACACAAGCGAAATGTGTTTATTATTAAATTCGACTTACTCCTTTTTTATTTGGCAGGGTTACCCTTTGAAATTGACCATTCACAACGTGATAAGCGAACATAAATGTGAAACTATCACCCTAGAATAAAGTGGAAAAAATGTAAGTGATATAGAAGTAAGCATTTAAAGATTAGTGTCAAAAAAAGGAGTAGCCTAGGTGTTTGTGTGTGTAACTATTGCTTTTAGGTATGATGAATTGAAATAAGCAATACAATGCTGTGTCCTCACTACTCCATTAAATCTGTCACATCTATTGAGAAATAGTGGGTTCTAGGAAATATCAGATATTCAGTATTTTCTAACTGCTATTATCAACAATAATTGGCTGATCAACACTACATTAATTCAGAAAAAAATTAAATGACATTAGGATACTGACCCTACAAAAAAGTCGAGACAATCATCAGCAAGTAGCAATGCTGAACAGGAGGGGATGCAGCTACTCTATACATTTGCATTTCCAGTTTGATAAGAGACAACCAAAAAGTATAAGAAATCATCAAATAAAGGGTCAGCATTACGAGAGGCGATAAGAAAAATATATTTTTAAATTCCTGCAGAGTGGTTTAAGTCTAAAGACTGCCACAATTAGCGAACATCCTAACTTGCACACTGAATAAGTATACACTTTAAGACAATTAATTATGTCAATAAAAATACAGTTATGTGAGATGTGTACTTAAATGTTAGATGTTTGGAGACAATCAGCAGGAAGCGCTGGACCTAGGTTTCGTGCTTATTGACACTTTTCAACAAGGCGCATCTGCAGTTCTGATTGGGACACGCACTACCCAGTGCTGCGGTCAGTCAATGGCCTCCAACCATCATAAAATCAACTCAGAGTGTACCATGATAATGAGTCACTTAGCGTGATGACCACATTGCAAACTTGACTAGTAGGGTTCATTCTGTACCACACTGAGGACTAGACGCCTAAAACTGGTTAGTAATTAGTGATCAAATACCTTGAAAATCACCAACTGATGTAACAATTAAGGTGTCTAGTTTTAAATCTTCAGGTAAAATATACAGTATAAATCGTAAGTGAAGTACGACTAAAAGCAATTATAAGAGATCTTATGCTCAGACGACCGAGTATAAAAACTCCAGAATACCCTATTCGGTACACATTCTATGTGATGAGAGAAGTGTTAAGCATGAAACCACGAACTTACTGAGAAATACTAAGTATAAGGCCTTTTTTATTCTTTCTATCGTTGATATACGGTTGTTACTATTTCCAATAAATTTTAATTTGACATTCATATTTTTATTGACATTATTATCAAAGTTAATGCCCTCTAAATTATTTCCCCCTGTACTATGCAAACACGAAATTAGATGCAATATTGTATTACATGCTGAAAATTCTACACTGTATCAGAAGTACTGTTTGGAATCAAGCCATTATTATTTAATTGGCATGACTGCAAATTGTGATGCACCATTGAATACAAAACAGCTAATCCACAGGGATTTTGTACATATAGATGCTAATATGCAAGCGAGAAATGTCTGGAAGCTTGAGAAAACTCAAATTCCTTTCGGTACAAGTACTATCATCACTCAGCATCGAGAGTGGTTGGTTTGCCGCTTTCAAGTATGTTGTGTGACCTACTTGCTAAGAGTGTACACCATAACTGAACACAATCCCAAAATGGGAACTTAAACTTACTTAAACCACACGAGTGAGAATAAAGTACACCATGAAGATATAATCCTTCTTTTTTATAACAGTACCTACTATTTTTGTACAATTTAGAGTATGTAAATTAATCGCCTGCACACTTCACAATTTACCAATCACAGTAATCATATTTATAATGTATGAACACATGACTGATAATATCCTGTTTTCTCTTCTTATTTTAAAACAGTATCACTTATCTATCGTCTTCGAGCCTCGAAAAAATTGTGCACATGCACAAAAGGATAGTCAGAATCATTTTCATGCAGCGATTGTATCTAACAATCACATTATACTAAATCGCCTTGACTAGGATATTTATTTTCAAAAATAAAACTAAGATATTTGCTTATCAGAAGAAATGTAAGCATTGAGTAAACTATTTGAAAACTGTAAAATTACAAAGCCTGTGGGAATGTCTCACAAATTTAACCTGATATTTTTTTTATTATTTAACAAATTAACGCCTACGGTTAATCAATACAGTTGAAAATAGTAGTGTGGCGTTTGCTTCTGACAAGAGTTATCAGTAGTACACAGACGCAGATAGATAGGGAGTAGCCAAAATTGAAAACAACATTTTAAGACAGTGGCCACAGGAGTAGAAGCGTCCGTTTCTTAAATGTGGATTTAGCTTACCTTGTGGTCAGGGTTTAACTTTCAGAAAATCAACAACTAATCAGAACAGTTTATTTTTCACTTGACCTAGCTGACTATAAATGTGGCTAAAAATGTATAAATATGCTGTGTTTTCCTCAACAAAAATGTCCGTTACCATGTCTTTTGTCTTCGCCCGTTACAGTATCAGATAATAGTCTGATGTAGAGTTTACGTTTCAAAAATTTAGAAATGGTACACTGACTGAGTTTCAACATAGAACTTGGCGCAGAAGTGCAGCAGTTTAAGTTGCCACACTTCATTTAGGACGCAAAGGTAGAGAAAATCCAAGAGAGCTATGTTGAGCAGAAATATGCAGGAGAGAGAATAGTGACATAGATAAACATGAGGATTTAGTGGATATGGAAGATCAAAAAGAGTGAACGTATCTGCACTATTGACAACGACTTTGTGGCATATCACCGATGGTCTCTTGCCACTGGTTCCTAGCATCCACAGGACACTAATCAAGCAGTTCACACTCCCATAGGTTACTCACACCAACAGTCAAACACTTTATGGTCTGATGCCAGGTTTTCGTTTGACTACTCCTAAACGTTTTCTAACCTAATCTGATATCAACTAAGATCGGTCGTTGGCGAAGGCGGTAGCTCAACATATACTCTACAACTTCTGATTGTACAGTTTCCACTTCTTTGCTTTGCTTTTGATCACTTCATTAGCAGATAGATGTAATCAGTTAAATCACTACAAAGTAATGCTAGCTAAACGTTATTAAAGTCTGTCTCTACTCAGCTGCATATGACTTTCCTAAGAGGTTATAGGTTTGAGAACACCATCCTCAACCAGTGGATTACGAAACTGAATTCAGCAGTACCTATAGAATTTCGGACAGTCTCACATAATATCCTCAGAATTTACACAATACATGTGAGTCACAGTCAACAGAACACAGCTGCGTATGATTGTTGACATCAATTCACATGGTCAACTGCTTTTTCAAATTCGTGTATATCATTTTATTCGATAAAGATTGTTTTTGATTGCAGTTAATAGTATTATTACTACTCAGGATTTCGAAACGTAACGCGAAAGTCTGTTAGACTAATTTATACATTATCCACTTATTAATATCTAAAAAAGCATTCGAAACCACTGATGTAACGGTAGAATACAAGAGGCTTGGTAGTGGAGTGTTTATTTGGGATATGTCATCTATATATAGCGACATTATGTACACCTTATCTTAAAATCGTTATGTGCACAGATCTTGCGTGTTGTTCTAAATATTTCCTCAGTTTATGTTTCTTTATCCGCTTTTCGTGTCTCCCATGTTTTCCACAACGCTGAATCATTTGCTCTCTTTGACGTCAAACTTCTCTCTCTTATGATCTTTTTTACGCCAAAGAACGTCTCTTTATATACAACTTATAAATCTTATCAGTAACACACGCCACACTGATATAAAGTGGGTGAAATACAAATTTTATTATCTACGCCTGTAGGTTGCAGAATATCCAGTTAAATAAACACCTTATACACGGAAGAAATAAACTAAAGTATACATTTTTTTAAACATGTGTAAATAAGATAAAGGATAGTTGTTCAAAGTCACCTAGGTTTTCATTTTATTAATACCTCCAACTTTTGTATCCGTCATCTTTATATCATCCTCACAGGGGAAAATAAGTAATAAACATGTTTAAAGTAAGCTCATGAATAATTTGCAACAATATTCAGATAAATTATAATACACTTTATCTGTAACTGACGAAGCTACATGCCAGGGAAAGGAAATAACTGCTTACCTTTGGTTTACATACGATCAATATTTTGTCGAATAAAAACAAATACCTAAAGAAGAATAAATAATTATAAAGGGAAAAGGCAGAGGGGTAATAAGGAATGAAATAAAGTAAATAAATAACACCAGTAGAATACAATATGCATACATACACATATTCAGTCTGTATTTAATGAGTGTTTGACATAGAAATACTATAAATTAAAAACAAAAAGACTAGTTGATTGTCAAACGCTAATTATATGTTGGTTCTGGGTTCGAACCCCGATGGGTGCATAGTCTTGAACAGCCGCAAACTAGGACGAAACAGCTGTCCAGTACTCCAAGGTTTCCCGATGGTTCTTTAACTGATGTCAGCTTATGATGAAATCCCCCAACCAATCAAAAAAATCCCTAAAAATCAATACTTGAAAATGTAGAAAAAGCAAATGTCTTTTTTGAATAATGAATATACGAATGTATGTTGACGTGAGCAACTTTTATTGCCACTTATTGCTCTTTTACGTAATATAATTAGGACCGTACAGCTTGAAAACAAAGCAGTCAAGAAGAAATATTTCTTCACTGAATAAAACTATGTTTTTCCTTATCAATGATTGAATGGGTCGTACTGGAAATAGACTGTTTTAATATTTCGTCCGGCGAATTCATCAGAATTTCTTTGGGGAGTTAACCGAAAACAAAAGGATGGAATTACTTGTTTCAATACCTTTGAGAATTATGTAAACATTAACTGAGAGTGGTTGTGAGAGATACATTCTTGAATACTATGATGCACAAGGCTAACCAGAATGAAAATAATTTGAAAACAATGTATGGGATTGATCACGGATTGATATCAGTTAGAGAAACATTGAAAACCAGGGAGTACTGGACAGGATGGAGTTTCCTGGAGTTCTAGTGAGAAGTCGTGACCAGTGAGGTCCAATTAGATGTCACGTGTGTGGATGGATGTCCCACCAACGACAATGGTTGGGGTCGCGCTAAATCACGAATTGGTAGAAGTTAGAATTCATGAGCCATTGAGTCGGGTCTCAGTGGCTGAATGGTATACGAGCTTGCCTTGTAACCGGAAGGTCCTGGGTTCGAATCCCAGTGGATGCGTACTGCCGATGATTCCCTAACTAGGATGAAACAGCAGCTGTCCAGTACTCCCTGGTTTCCAATGGTTCTCTAACTGATATCAATCCGTGATCAACTCGTAAAAGCATAACTAACCCTTACAAACCAAACTATAGAAAGTGTATGGAATGTTTCACTCTGTTCATCTCAAATACATAAATATCTCTAGACTGTTTGATGGTCAGTAATTATTCAGTGTTATAAGAGAAAATATTTAACGCATACAATAACATTATAACAGCACAGTGCTTATTTATGCAGCGTGAAATAATAATCTAAATGGATGTAAAAGAGCAACGACGAGCACTTGATAAAACCAAAAAGACAAGAAGATGATAAATTACCTTGTTTTTGCTTTGCTTTCTGATTCTGAAACAACTTTCACCTCTCCATCCATGTGCAAATGTCCATAGCTCGACAACTTTTTATCTGGAGGCTGGATGATTAAAGAAAATGATTAGCAAAATGACGTGGTAATGTTCAGTGAAAGTGTTGCGTGTTTTCAAGAAAACCAAATAACACAAATACTTTCTAATTATTCACAAATTGTTAAGCTAATTTATTCACTTTGGTAATTAAAAGTTTGCTTGGTTTTTTTAATAAATATATTTATTATCCTAATAAAAGCGAAATGCCATGATAGTGATATTTCTTCCCACAAAACACGTGATAAGGAGAGAAAAAGAGGAAAGATAAAAGGTTAAGATGAGGATAAGTGCAAATTTATGCAATCAGGTGGTAGTTTGAGCCATAACCAATAAGAAAAAAGATGACCTGACAGTGACATAGATGCTGCGATGATGTAACGTATTGCATATACCCATTTACAATACTTGATTAATATAATATACAACAACATGCATGAGTCTCACACCTGTAAGCGTGGATCGATACTTCGTACATGCTAATAGTTAAAAACAAAACATATTTAAAGCAAAAACTCAAACCACTGTCCACTTGACTTTTCAGGCGAATAATAATACATTGACTTCTAAACAGTGGGAAATCAAACTAAGGTGAAGAGTAAGACACTTGCTCACGACTACCTTGCTTCGATGTATTGCATTTATAAGTAGAGCGTGTTGACCACTTCACTTGTTTGGCAAGTTGTATCAGCCAACACCAACGGGTCGATCGCTGAGGAAATCCCAGCAGGGATACAAAAGACTCGTTTGGCACTTTTCAGCCAACTTACGCTATCTCTGGCATAGAAATGATATCCGGCTGGCTATCGATCAATAGGCGCATGTACTGCTCAACAGTCCGCTCTGTCCTCCTTTATGGATGTGAGCAATACATGGCCATTGAAAGTAGAAGATATGAAAAGGCTAGCTGTCTTTGATCATGGGTGCATGCAAGCTATCTTCCGTGTTAAGTGGTATAATAAGGTAAGCAATATTGAGGTGAGGCGTCGGTCGAGTGCTAGGTGAGGAGGGGAAATAAGTCGACGAGGTTGTGAAGTTACACCGATTCAGATGGTTAGGACATACGTTTTTCATGCCTAGCCACCGCCTTGCTCAACGAACAGTGTTTGCTGACATAAGATCAGGTTGGAAAAGAGTTGGCTAGTGGTTGTCAAACCAAAACATCGCTTCATAAGTCAATGAAATCTGCAACAGTGAGTTGAAGCCAGTCACACAGGACGGTGTAGACGTCCTGGTTGCGATCCTCGGGATAGTAAAACCAATGGCTGAATACGATTGATGATATGGCCTAATATCATCGTCCTCAATGAATATCGTAGATGCATTCACTCATTGTGATTTGTCATGTCCAATTAGACTCAACTGTTCTTCCATATTACTATTCTTTTTGCCTTACACTTGCGTTTATCTCTCTTTTGAACCTCTGTTTACTCTCTTCTCTTGCTTTGTGTGCTACATGGAGTGTGACAACTCGACCTGCTGTGCATCTGTGCAAAGTTCAGTATTGAAACCAGTCGGTCGGTCACAGATATACGTCAGTTTGAAGTGGAAGAGAGATATTACCTAGTAGCCAACAGCTATATTATTTGTTGCATATAAATGCTGAAAAATAATTATAATTCAGTTGTGCAATGTATAGTAGTGCAACAGCAGAAGATAAGTGCCAGGCAACAGATCGTTTATTAAGGAAATCAACACATATTTATATATTTTCATGTACATTATCATAGATTAGTTAAGCAAACAAAAACAGTCTTCTGATTGGTTGTTTCTCACTGAAAGTCAATCTTTCATCTCTTTGTAGCTGTTTCTTGAATGTCAGATCATCTATATGCTAACTGTATCCGCCTACGCAAAGTCTGTTGTGGTTGGTTGTTGAATCAGTCTTTGTTCATATTTTCTCACGACCAATATTGAGGACGTAAACATTGACGTAAATTACTGTCTACCAATTTGGCTAGCAGCCAGCTCTCACCACAGTAGTACAGATAACCAGCATTAGGACGGGAGGTAACGAGACTGAATCTTTCAGTTTTATATTTGAATAGTGCACTTATATAATTAGGCTGATCTCAAAAGTATATTTTACAGCTAAATGATAGAAATATTACTCTGTATAACCTTTTAGCTTAAACAGAAACGATTACAAGTGTAGAGAAACATTAGAAAATTTTAATGCTGCAAGATGAAAAATGTAGAAAATAAGTTGAAAACGTTAAGATAGGTAATGATCAAAACAATAACATGTCTTCATGTCGACTACTTAGACACAGGTTAGTGAACTTCAAACTTTGCTGTACAATGCTGTATGTGGTTTAATAATCCTGCTCCACAGATTGGAACACTACTAGATGAGTTCACAGAAATTAACCACTAGTGGTGATATCCATCATACGATAACTTGAAAACACAATTATCTCATGCCTGCAATGTTGTAGTATCAAATGACCTCGTTAATAAGGAGTTTTGTGCAAAGTTCTACATTGATATTTCAGCCAGTCAGTAAGATATTGCAGATTAATGGACCTCAACTAGAAAATATTTAGCGATAGCATACCGGTGATAGTTAAGAAAAGTTTATCAGTAAATAGTTGACAATCAACAGTTCATCAAATGAACCCTAGTTTAATATGTACCAAGTAACCAGGAATGATATCCCCAGGAAAATACTCATACAAAATGTCAACGATCAATATTAAGCTTCTCAGACAAAGCTGTTTACTTTCTACTCCTTAAACACTGGTGTAGACCATTTTATAGACATTCGAAATGCAGACAAAGGAGAACGCTGTATTCCCAAATAATCAAATTGCTTTATGAATATAATTTCTCAAAAGTGAAAATTTGTCTAATAAATCTAGCTTTACACTTGTGCTTGTCATGAAGGGAAGTCATTAAAATGACAGATGAAGCTAATTGATATTTCTTCTTTCAATAAGAAAAAATTTTTATGGGCCAATGACACACAACTGAAGAAAAAATTAAATATTTTAGTTTTTAGTACAGCTACTTGAAGGAAAAAAAATAAGTCTAGGGCTGGAAAGTATGAGCTGATTGATGACAATTAACAGTCTACGCCAATAAAAGTTAATTTAATTTTATGAAACTGACTTTACTGCTACTACTACACCTACATCTGAAAGTGTATTTGTTGTTCATTTTAAATTTAGGTTACAAAAAAACATCAAAGGTTGTTTCATCAATTTTCATATTGTATTAATCGAAAATATCTAACCAATATAGCAAATCAACTCTTATTTTAATTCCCTTTTCAAAAACATCCTTAAATAATTCTATACAGCTGATATTCAAACTGTACAAAATGATTATTTAATTCAATTTTAGATTTTCCCGTCGATTGATTGGACCGAAGTACTCGGTCTAAGGTTGATATGTTGGTTTCTTGTGAAGATGCTTCAACGATGTCTAGGCATGTAATTAGGAGTCAACCTGAGACCGAGCACTTCAGTCCAATCAATCGATGGAAAAATCTAAAATTGAATTAAATAATTCATATGATCCGTTGCACACGAGGTGGCTCTCGTGATCCAAGTGGTCGAGTGGATATCTCTTCGACTTTGAAACTATGGGCACTGGGTTCGAGCCTCAGTGGTAACATCACCACTCACTACGGAATGCAGGTACATCCAGATGACGATTCCCGAATAGGACGAAATGCGCATCCTGGATTCCACTGCAAGTCACTATACACCAATTAACTTCTATTCAAAATGATGTATGCATAGGACGATACAGTAGTCATATGCTAAAATCAATAAAAGCATTATTTGTTGTATACTGATGTTATCTAAGCTCTAGACCTTTGTTTGATTTCTTTAAAATGTTTGAAACTTTATGAATTTAGAGCTTTGATTATATATATATATATATATATATATATATATAGGATGCGTATTCTACATTTGGAAGTTTCATTGGTATACAATTAGTGCATACAAATCAGGTGAGAACTAAATCACCAATGAAGTAAAATAATTAAAGATAAATCATTTAGGTGAATGACAAACATATATGTATATATAGCATACAATTAAAATATGGTTGCATAGATGAAAATCAATGGGAAGCAGTGAAAACGTACTTACCAGCATTATTTCAAGCAAACTGTCAATATGATGAGAAACACAAGGGTGAGGGTAGAAAAAAAAAGATATACAGATATATATTTATATATATTTATAATGCTTAACTTAACACTGAATTGATTTTCTAAAAAGTGATTCAAGTATGATTGCCGTTCGACATATACGGAAAGCGATATACTCCACTGATGAGTTTTAATAAGTACGAGGCGTAGATCTAGCATTCCTATCCCACTTACCACGATAAGGTAGATTCTGTATTGATGACAAGGAAATTTGTTTAAAGCTGACAGGAATAGTATAAAGACTCTTCTTATGGTATGTTTAAGATAGGAAAGAGGAAGCTAACGGTTTATAAAGTAGCATTATTGTTTTTTTTTTCATTTTATTCCTTTACGTTCCGAGTGGAAAATAAGGCTTCAAGCTACAGTTTTGAAGTTTCGTTAGCAGTGGTGTTTATTTTCACGGGATGGGGTTGCTAACCTCATGCCCAACCTTACCTCTTTATCAGTGTTACTAATGGCTTAGCGAGGTAAAGAAGTGCGTCGGCCGGGGATCGAACCACGAACTACATGTGTGGTTGGAGAGCATTCTATCACTGTGTTACCATCGATGCACTAGCACTATGAGTATCAATATAAATCATCAGCATCCTCTGTCCCAACTTACATAAGACCCTAGAGTAGTATACTATAAAAACAGCAACGATATGCTCATAGTGAACAAGTGGTCGGGTTTGAATATTGCATTGACCTAACCAACGAATGTTCCTGCAGGTACTGCCATACCAGAAAGTGCGTTTGGATAGCAGCTAGACAAAGGCTACTTACCACCAAACTCCAAGTTGATTACACTATGTTTGGGGTCTGAGGACGAAATCATACTGTTAGAGAACAGGGATGTAACAACAGTCAGATATTTTCCTTGAATGACGTGCAAGCAAGCTAGTTATGCTACGTTTGCACTCTGGGGAACAACGGGGATGTTGGAAAAAGTTTATCCGGATAACTGTACATATTTCAACTTAAATGAGAAGTAATAGCTGCCTACATGCTTCCATGAGTATACAGCTTTCAGAGTCATCATTCCTGTCGTTTTTAATACCTATTCCACGAATGGATTTACTGCCTTATTTTAACCGACCATAGATACCTGAGCCGGAAACACAATACTAATAGTTTTCTAAAACCAAACTGCCAACTTCCTATTGGCATTTTCAACGTCTCGACCTTCTGCAAGAATTCTAGCATCTCGAGCTGTGGGTGTATATTGTGATTCGGAGACACTCATAAAAGAGCCAAGTGTTTTTACTAACTTAACTTCACCTGTTCAAAATGGTGAATCTGCGAAATTAACCTTACGGGAACGAGGAGATTCTTTTGCTAGTTCACGACAACTTTTTGTTGTAGGAATAGCAAGTGCAGAAGAAGCCCCAACTGACAGAATTCCAGTAGATAGTGGTATGTGTGTTGTTAGGATACTATGAAAGAAGGAAAAAGTGTGATAGTCATCAACGTCTCCACTCACGCCTGTACCAACTGCAGTTCAGACGAATTAAAGGATGAGTTGTATTATAAGGTATCCAGGTTATTACTCAATACAAAACGCTCAGATATAGTCAATGCTCAAGTATGCCAACCAGAAGAGCATACTAGCGGTATTTATGAAGTGTCATGGCGATAAGCCGACAAAGGTGATCATCTTTTACAGTTCTATTCAGATAACTGTGTGTTACTCCTTAGTACTAATTTCTGGTACATGAACACATTTAATTATTTAAAATAATCGCAGTGTGTTTCGAAAATCAAAACAAGGTCTTTCTGAAAGCTTCTCTGTATAAGCCACAGTCTCTTGAGTAGAAAACATATTTCATATTCAATTCAAACAGTTATTGAGGCGTATGATTGTGACACTTTTGAACTGCAAAAGCTGAACAACAGATGATTGTCGTAATTCAACAGTTTATTAGTTTTTACTACTACTACTACTACTATTACTATTGTACCAGCTAGACAATGGAAACAAAAAGCTAGCGGGTTGAAAACACGGTTTGTTTGATGTTTTAATTGAACAATCGGATGGCTTTTTGTCTTCGTTAATAGCCTAACAAGACTGCAAGTCAATAATGTCTACATATCCTTAGCTTGAATTAGCACTATTATCCTGTGCAGACATCACATAAGTCATTCAACTTATAATCACAAGCAATAAATTGCCACCTCCTTTCATGATTGAACAATGCACGTGTATAGTAGTTCCATAGATCGGCATGTAACTTTTAGCGTAACGGACAGAAGTGAACCTGAATTGCTAAATTTCAAGGGTAAAATAAAGAATGAATAATTCCATATTAGATAAGTTTATTTAAAATAACAAACAAAGATAAGTATTCACTACTGGATATGATATGATTATGAGCAATAATTTATGCTCGAAACGTTAGCTAGTTGTTAATACCGCATCGCTGAGTGATATTTAAAATAAACTTATCTAATATGGAATTACATTCTATCACAGTGCTCAAGTTCCACACTTACATTAAAGAATGAATAACCAATAGTTAAGTAAAGTACCAAACTAACCTGGATTGAATTTGATCAATAGAACTAATTGTATCAAGATCTCGTTTAACATCATTAATTGACAGAGCGACTTCACGCATAGCTTCATGAGCTAAGGTAAGATCAGAACGATCTGGATGATCAGCTGGAGTAAGTTTACACAGATGCTAAGGTTTTAAAAAATAATAATAATTTATTCATTTTCCTCAACAAAAATGTCTTTCACTCAACAAAATAAGATTCACTGTAAATAAGAATCTTGAGTTAATCAATACCTAACAGGTGTTAAATATCGACAGTTTTTACCATAAAACAGATGGAAAAATATTACCTTACTATACTGACTTCCATACAGACAGGCTAATACACTCACAGGTAAAAGGTATTGAATACACTGGTACACTAAAACCAACTATGTTTCAGAGCAGCCTCCATTTCTTACCATACCTATGGTCTATACTTATTTAGTACATTTGAACACGGAGAACTTTATATTTTTACTTTCTAACATTTCAACTTGGAAATACATGGAATGTCGCAAATGTGAAGAATCCTAAATCCCCCACCTCCTGATAAACGGACCTGATACGACAGAGATTAGGTAGACTGCTGTCTTCCTTATGCAATGCTCTCATGTCACTACAAGTTCATAGCTTCTGGCAGATAAGTCTTATTATTTATTGTCTTTTAAATCACAAGGGGTAAAACGGCAATTGCGAATGTCCCGCATTTGTCACCGTATTATTGGATATATCAAGGATCCATGTATCAGAAAACTCGGATTTTACACAACACAGGGTATAGGAACTTAAAGATCTGGAAGAAACGAATGGCATATTAAACTACTTTGGTCACCACCATCTATAGGGACACAGATGCCAAAGTTGTCCTGCTGCCTTGAGGAACCGACTTTAAGTTAAAGACTCAGGGAGTGGTTATGAGAAAACTATTCGATTCATTGCGAACGATGAGGCAATACCTCAGTTCTTATACGAAATATAAAATGAGGAATCGATGAAAGACTCAGCTCAATCATATGGACACACCTGCCCTACCAGCCAAGCTATGAACAATACATTTAAATACTTAATTAATTGTCATTTCACAGTTACTGTTATTATTGTTACTCAAACAAACAAAAGAACATTCTTAACTGATTCTTCCCACCTTTGCATTCATTTTATCAGCTACTCACTGTTGCCTGACATCACAGTTTTGAATAATTCTTTTACTCCAGACTTTATTAGATATAGCTACGAAGTGAAGCTTCCTTTTTTATTTCTGAAAGAAATATGAAGTGACGAACACTCTCTTGAATGCTTTTAATAAGCACGCTCATCTGATTCTATTCTATTTTTTCTTGTCCACTTTCTTGCCCTTCCCCGTACATTATTAATTTACTTTGTGTGAATGATCTCTTGGTGTACACACCAAGTTTGCATTTTAAATTATAATAATAGAATGAATAAAATCCTGTGTATTTCCTGTCTTTCTAATGCAGAAGGTCATCTTGAATTTGCAAAGTAGAACAAGCCACCAGACGTTGTGTAACGTATTATGCTGTCACTAGGTAGGGTTTCTTTCCCACTCCATAAATGAGAAAATAATGTCATAATACCTTGAGGGACATTTTATAGTATAACCACTATGGTTGTGGTAACCAGAAACAGGATTTAAATGTCAGAACAATACCTTCAGGTAAAATTTGGTCATTATTATTATTGTTTTCTTTAGTTCCTAGAGGAACGTAGGGCTTCAGCCGCACGTCTCCATTGCGTCCGGTTCTCTGCCAACGTTTTCACCTGGCTCCACGTCTGCCCACATGCTTTCATCTCCTCTCCAAATGACCTCCTCCACGTCACCCTTGGACGACCATCTCGACGATTAACGTTAGGGTTCCATTCGAGGGCCTGTCGTGTGATATCACTTGATGGTTTTCTCAGAGTATGGCCAATCCATCTCCATTTCTTCCTGCTTATTTGTTGCACAATCGGTTCCTGGCTGGTTCGCACTCAGAGATCCCTGTTCCTGATCTTTTCTGGCCGGCCATCTGATCTTGAGTAGTATTAAGCGAAGACAGCTGTTGATCACTCGAAGTGCACTTCGTGACATGGCGCTAAGTCTCTGATCCGTATAGTAAGTAAAACTGAATTCACATTGGAGTTGAAAGTCAGGATCTTATTTTTCATGCTGATTGCTGTTGACCTCCACGCAGACTTGAGAGAAATGAAAGCTTTCCTTGCTATTCCCATCCTTGCTTTGATATCCTCGTGAGTTACGCCTGTAGTTGAAACGATGTTTCCCAGGTCGGTGGCAGGTAAAGGAGGGTGCTTCTTTCAGATTCCTTCCATTTATGCTGATTGTTGTCTGTTGTTGTTGCTGTTTTCCAGGAATCTGCATCACCTCTGTTTTCTCTATGTTCACTTGAAATATGTCCTATCTTTGATGTTTCTTCTGCCAACTTGTCGCTTTTCGCTTGCATATCTTCCAGTTTGTGGGAAATCAGATATATATCATCGGCGAAGTCCAGATTCCCCAAGTTGTTTGTATGGGTCCATTTGATGTTTGTTTCCTTGTTGCCCGCTGTCTGTCGCATTATCCAGTCTACCGCAATCAGAAAAATCATTAGAGATAGTAGGCACCCTCCCTTGTCTCACTCCCGTCTTCAATTTGAAGGATTCCGTGAGTTTTCCATTGTGGATTAATTGGGATGCAGCATTGTCATACAACTGTTGGATGAGGTGTACAATTTTTGGCGGCACCCCATAGCAGCGAAGTAGTTGTCAAAATAGTTCTCGATCGACGCTGTCGAAGGCCTTTTCAAAGTCGATGAAGTTGAGGTAGAGGGCTGACTGCAATTCCAAGCTCTGTTCAATGATGATGCGTAGTGTTGCAACTTGATCGATGCATGACCTATTTTTCCTGAATCCAGCCTGTTCTGCTCGAAGCTTTTCATCCAGGGTGTGTTTGATTCTCTCCAGAATGATGCGGCTTAGTATTTTGCTTGAGATAGACAGTAGAGTAATGCCACGCCACTTCTTGCATTGACTTAAGTCTCCTTTCTTTGTAAGCTTGAATAGGTGCCTTGCCCTCTTTCCACACCTTCTCCAGTAGTTGTGTCATCAAGTTCGCTGATGTCCCTGGGTTCATTTTCAATGCTTCTGCGGGTATTCCGTCTGGTCCTGCTGCTTTTCCATTTTTTAGCATCTTTATTGTCTTCAGGATTTCTACTCTCGTCGGAGAGTTGGTATCCACTGGTAGTTCTGCTTCCGCTGTTGGTATTACTGGGTGCATCCTAGGTGGCGGTCGATTAAGAAGTCTTTCGAAGTGCTCAACCCAGTGATTCCTTTGCACCACCTCTTTGGTGATTGACTTTCCATTATCATCCTTCACTGGCTTAATTTGTGTTGAACTTTTCACCGATAGAAATCTGGCTGTTTGGTAGAGTGTTGCCAGGTATCTTTTGCCTGCAGCTTGTTCTGCTTCACTAGCCATAGCTTCATCATATTGTCTTTTGTCTTCTCTGGCACTTTTCTTTACTCTTCTGTTCAGTGTATTGTAGCTAGCATTCAACTCCTGTTTTTGTTGCTCGTTGATGTACTTTTGTTTCGACATCCTTCCCTCTTCTATTAGTCTCCATGTATGTGTGTGTGTAGTGAGCCACTGTTTGCCCTGCCTCTTCTTCCTGCCTAGAACTTCCATGCAGGTTTGACTCCACACCGCTTTCAGGCTGTTCCAGTGCGTTTCAACACTGGTCTCTTCGCTAGTGTTGATTTGTGTCTCCACCTTTTCCCTTTTGATTGCGGTGAAGATATCCTTTGTTTTTGAGTATTGAACTTGACTTGTAGTATATCTGCAGCTCCTATTTCCTTGAAAACTTTTAATTTGATTTGGAGCGTTCCGTGTACGAGATAGTGGTCTGAGCCGACGTCTGTTCCTCTTCTTACTTTTGTGTCCAGTAAGCTGCATCTTCACTTCCTTGAGATTGAGATGAAGTCAATTTGGTTTCTAGTTCGCCCATTTGGTGACACCCATGTAGCCTTGTGGATATCCTTGTGTTTGTATACGCTGCCACCAATCACTAGTTCATTGAAGGCGCAGAAGTCGGCGAAGAATTCTCCATTTTCATTCATTTCTTCGAGAGCTTCTCTACCCATGATGAGTTCCCTTCCTGTGTTGTCTGATCCCAGTTTGGCGTTCATGTCTCCCATTAGTATTTTAATGTCACCGACTGGAGTTTTGTCCATTGTTACCTGTAGAACTCTTCTTTCTTTTCGAGGTCTGCGTTGTTTATGGGTGCATAGCACTGTATGACTGACACTTTCCTTCCCTTGGAGTTGAATCTGGCGGTCATTAACCTGGGCGAGATCGCCTCCCTTTGCATCAGGGCCTTCGTTGCCACTGATGACATCATGATGGCCACACCCTCGGTGTTCTCGTGGTTGTCTTCTGGGTGACCGGAGTAGACCATCGAGTCTCCCGTTGACAATTTGGTGAGTCCACTCCCATTCCATCTGCTTTCGCATATTCTCAGTACTTGAATTCAATATCTTTTGATCTCGTTCGCAATCTAGGCAGCTTTGCCAGTCTCGTACATGGTGCGGACGTTCCATGTCCCCACATGAACTTTTTCTTTTGTCGCAAGGAGACTCATCGTGCTGAAGTTTCTGGAGAAACTTTGTTTACAGGGTTGGGTTGTTAGCCTCACGCCTTAGAAGGGAGTTGTTACATGAATGTATGGGTTACAGGGGAGCTACTTTTTGGGTTGCTCCCCTTAGAGTCAGGAAAACAAGGAATAAAGCGATCGGAACAAAATTCATTAAAATGACCAAAAACAGCATCAATGACATTATTTTGGTTGCTAGTGACATGAACAGAATCAGGGATGGGCGTTTCGTCAGTTGGATGTAATTGCATCCCCAGTGAGTGGTGTTCCTACTGAGTCTATAATTCTGAACTCTTAGTAGCCAATGTCAAACTGTTAAGCAACCGGAAATGAAAATGAACCTAAACAAGCATCGGTTATAAACTACAAAGATGCAGTGACAAGCATATTCGTGCATTTTATAGTCAGCTACATGTGTTAATATAGGTTTGTAATTAAATTTACTTTCCAACTAATCAGATTACTGAAAACTCAATGGTTTTGTAACAAATACATTGGACAAATAAATCATAACAGTCAATTTGTTAGAATAAGTAGTCCAAATCTTGAAAAATCCTTATTTACTTCGAAAAAGTCCTATCATCAAATACGTTCTTAATTGCTGAAAACATGATTAAGTGAAACAGGTAATGGTAGGTCTTTTTTTTTATTCCTTCACGTTCCCCAGTGGAACATAGGGCTTCAAGCTAGAGGCTTGAAGTTTCTGTAGCGGTGTTTCTTTTTACAGGATGGGGTCGCTAGCCTCATGCCCAACCTTTACTCTTCACCAGCTTCATTTCTGGCTTAGTGAGGTAAAGGAGTGCGCCGACCGGGGATCGAACAAAGGTCTAAGGATGATAAAACCTCTAAGTGTTGTTTTACAGGGATTTGACTGATTATAATTTAGTTAACAAACCGACTTCATTTAGAGAACCATTATATACCAGGAAGTGCTTGACAGTTGTTTCGTTCTAGTTTGGGACCCTTCAGTCATGACCTGACTGGGGATCGAATCCAGAGTGAGAACAGATACTCTCCGAAATCTATCAGTCACGCTACATATCCTAAATTTTTGGACCACTGGATTCTGTCTAAGTGGCTGAACGGTCAACGGCCTCACCACACAACCTGAAGGTCCTGTGTTCGAACCCCGGCAGGTTCATGGGTGAGTACTGCTGATAAACCTCAAACTAGGTTTCCAGTAGTTCTCCAAATGAAGTCAATTCGTGATCTAAATTGATGACAAAACTATCAAGGTACACACACATTGTAAAATGAAGCTAGACTTTCGAAAATTTTTGAATAAAATGGAAGAGAAATTCAGAACGACGCAATTTTTAAAAATTACTTCAACAGCAATCAAGTACAACAAAAGTCACCTAAGGCTTATCCAAAATCTAATTAGGCGAATTAAGGCGAGTACACGAATTCATTAGCAATAAGAAAAACGAAATCAAAAGTACCAATTACGTAATATCTACTAACCTCTAGTAAGAGATGATATTTCAGTACACGTTGAATAGGGATTGTAAGTAATTCCGCCAAAGCAAATTTATTATATTTTTCAGAATTTGATTGACAAAGCTATAAGAAAATTTCAGATGAAGACGCAGGCAATGAGTTTAAATAACTTTAAAAATCAAGAATTTGTATATTAAAGTAATTTCCAGAAATTGTACAAGTACACTTCAAGTGCACTTGACTTATCATTTAAAAGTATGATTACATCAAGATCTTGAACTTATGATCTGTCGAAAAGGTTACGCAAACTTTAATTCAAACTAAAACTGTCACAATACTTTGCTGAAGAGGCAGTGAAGACAGGACTGTAGGTGAATACAAAGAAGACGGAGGTGATGAAGATAACCAACAACCAGCACCAATCACCATCAATGGGAGAGATTTAACAGAGATTACCGCCTTCACTTATCTAGGAAGCATCCTTTCAACTACAGGCTGCCGGAACTGATGAACATGTAAACGTCAAAATCGGAAAGACAAGATACGCCCTCATCGACCTGAAACCAGTTTGTGAATCTTCTACACTCAGCATAAGGAACAAGATTCGCATTTTCAACACCAATGTCAAGTCGGTCGGTGCTTCTATAAGGGTCAGAAACTTGAAAAGCGAGTGCGTCATGAAGAGCATTTCCAACAGGTCATTTCAGACTTTCATCAACAGCTGATTTCGCCCGGCTCCATATTGAATATCAAATGGTTGGCTGGCCATAAAAAATTAGCAACAAGGAACTCTGGCTGGGAACGAACCAATCAAGAGCCGAGTGCTCAGCATATATGTAGGAGTAAATGGAGATGGATTGATAGGGTATACTTTGAGGAGGCCATTGAATGACATCACGCGCATTGGAGGCCATCGCTCAAGTGGAGTCCAAATGGGAAGCGACCAGTGGGTTGTCGATGTGACGGTGAAATGCAGGAGATCGTGCAAGGAGGAGATGAGAGATTATGGGCAATCGTGGACGAAGATGAAGAGAACAGTACCGAATAGACGAAAGTGGAGATGTTGAAGCCATATGTTCCACTCGGAACCCAAGGTAATAGTAATAATACAATAGGATACAAAACTGCAAGCACTTATCTTCGTGCTCCGCCTATTTTGCGGAGCTAAACAACCTTCATAATTATCCATTGAACTAACATTACACCCGGAATATAACTGTCACTTAAGAATTTTCATGATATTTAATATCTAGCTGTACCACAACTACGCAACTCTTATTACAAAACATAACCCATTGAGGTGAGTAGAAAATTCATCGAGTGGTAATTATTTTAGGATTATGTCATCCATAGGCTTAGTCTCACTTAATTCTACTCCAAGCAGTACTGTAGCGGTATATGTAACAGATAATTCTGCTAGTTCAATTCAGAGTAAATCCACAACTTCGCAAACAGTTTCTTTTCTTCACCATTGTGTGCTACATCGAATGTGGTAACTTGAACTGCAGCACCTCTGTGTAACTTTCTATGTTGAAAACCAGTCAGTTCATGTTGCTTTACCCCAAGTAGGTGCTGTTGATTCGACATGAAAAAGGGAAAATACTATTCAACTATTTTAATATGAAAATAAATCCAGCTACCTTACTGATGCTTGGAAATGGTAGAACCATTTAGCTAATTTGCACAAAGGTTACTTCAAAGACTGCTACCATCCTAATATACTTCTCTGAATTATTACAAATACATTATTCATCTCTAAGTAGACTGATTTCCAGTATATCCGATTGGATGCATCTCGTAAATCTAGCCAATCAAATCCAAAATATCCAATGAAAGCAAAAACGAAAACCTCCCTGCTAAATATAAAGAAAAACCTCGCCTAGTTTACTAGCTCGCTAGTTTTCTAACCGGTCCTAAGCCTAGTCGGAAGGTTGAGCATGAGGTTAGCGACCAGACCCAACAAAATCAATACAATCGCTACAGAAACTTGAAAGCACGGGAAAAAATATAAACACAAACGTATTCTTCGCTGGAATAGGAGAGATGAAATGACGCGGGCTGATAAAAACCTTCAAAAAGCCACTCAGTCGATATGTCCTTTATCGATGAAAGCAAATATAAAGAGAGGGTACGTGGAATGTAAGTACAACGTACGAAGTTGGGAAGGCTGCCCAGGTCGCCAAAGATATGAGAGAATATGGTATAGAAGGGTTAGAAACCAGTGAGAGCACGTGGAATGGAGGTGGACTGACCAAATTGCTAACTGAACAGTCAATAATCTACTCCAGTCACTCAGACGATAGCTACAAGAGAGTGGCTCTTATGATGTCACCACCAACAACCAAAGCTCTTATGCGGCGGGAACCAATCTCTTCCAGGATAACGACAGCAATTTTCAACTGATAAGGAAAGACAGCCACAATTATCCCAATGGCACGCACCTGCAGGCAACTCAGAACAACGGAAGGACGATTTTCGTAGGCAAGTGCAAACAGTAACGGACAAATCGCAAACGGTGGCATCAAAATCCTAATGGGTGATATGAATGCTAAACTGGGAGCAGACAATACAGGAAGAGGATTCATCATGGTTTCAGAGGCTCTCGACGAAATGAATGACAATGAAGAACTCACCAAGCAAACTTCTCTGAATTCTATGATTTGGTGATTGGAGGCAGCATGTACAACCACAATTATATACACTAGGTAACATGTAACATGTTATGAATAGGTCTGAATCAAAGTATAATAAGACTATAATTATGAAAAACAAAAAGTCGTCATCGAATTGTAGTCACTAGAGTAATACTTTAATTTCCAATTTTCATTTAGTCTTATTATTTAGGAAATTCCATGGGACTACAAATTACAACACTAACTTTCTTCACTTAACCAACGTTGGAAGTTGACATTTTGAGTAAAAAGCGGAAATGAAAACTTTTGAACCATTACGCCTCTTTTGCTTAACAACAAAGGGATATATGTGAAACAGATACGCGAAATTCTCCAATACAACAGTAATCTCATTACTTACCTCTATTTTACTACGCTTCTCGACATCATTTCGCATAATTTCATATACTAAGTTTTGAGCATGTTGTAAGTGACCACAATATTCTCCATATATGAGCAGACTATCTCGAGTTTTAAGGAAAACATCGCTTAAACTGAGAAAATTAATAGTTGCACTGGTTGCCAAGCTTAGGTTACTTAAGAACTCCCTATGAATTGTATGTAACTCCTGCAAAAAAGGAATGTGAAACAATTCAATGAAATTTAGTCGAATAAATATACTGAGATTGTGGGTGGTAGATATTAAAATGGCATATTCTTCATACATGGGAAGACATTACACCTTTTAAATTGTCACAAACAAATAACATATCCCTAATACTAAAATAAAGTATTCGATGTTACTGAATCATCTTTGAGAGTTAAATGATTTGCGAACACTTTAGTTTCAAGCGAAGAGCTTATTCACCAAAGAATATTTCACTTGGTAAACAAAAACAGTGATGCAGTATTATTAACTGATGACGTTTTGAGCACAATTTACTGCTCATATTTATTAATCATATCAAGACACTTATATAACCATTTTATTTTATTTTTATTTTTATTTACAGCTTGATTCCACACCGTATTTTCAGTACAAGTATGGAATTTTCAGCATGGATATTGGTAGCCCAAATTCTGGCCGACCATAGATATCGGGTGTGCGCCGGCAGGGGATCGAACCCAGGACCATGTGCATGGTCGGCGAGAGTCCTAACCACTGTGCCACCGACCAAACTTTGTTTATATGATTCTATCATTTCTTATCCCTCGATTTTATTGGTTGTAATATTTCCTATATTTCTGGTATTGGAGTTGTATCATTCCCATTGCATATGTTACGTATGAATTTAATGAACAAAGTTACAGTGATCAACCTCTCTCTCCATCTAACTATATTACTTTTTGACACTCACAAAATAGGTTGGAACAGGGTGAGAATACTAAAAAGTAATATAGTTAGGTGAACAGAGAGGGGTTAATCACTGAAGGTTTGTTTATCGATTCAGAACTGCACACGTACAATCGGGATGACGCAACGTCTACGTCGGAGATACAGAAAGTGGCAACAAACAACAAAAGAAAGTTGGAGAGATAGAAAGAAAGGAATTATATATAAGACAAATTGTGAAACCGTATGACTAGAATTGATATGATTATGAGCTGATTTATGCTCGAAACTTCATCCAGTTTTTAATACTGAGTCACTGTGTGATATTTAAAATAAATTTACCTAATATGGATTGCGATTGCTGAATTTTCCTCTAAACTATTCATCTTTTTGGGGTCAGTTATTCTACACTTAGCTAAATCCCTATGTTCCGATAACCTGACTGACGTCACTCTACTGGGTCGACCTATGTAGTTGACGTCAGAGCCCTTGCAAAATATTTCGCAGACTTAATTACTGCAGATTTAAACACTGTGAGACTTTATCAAAATAAATTTTATCCGTAATGGATTTATACTCTACCGCAGTGCCCAAGTTCTATCCTTATATCAAGATTTATTTATTTATTTGATTGGGTCAATAGGGTTATTTAGCCTACAAAATTTGCCTCCAAATTACTTTTTAGATTTAAATGTCAGTCTGTTTCATTCTTTATTAGGAATCCTATTCAGAGTTTAATATGTGCCTTCTTAGTAAGGTAAAACTACAGATGCTTTAAATTCTTCTATGTTTACGTTAATGGTTAACAGTTTTAGCGTTAACTTTCCCTTTTTATGGGCTTTTCTTGATCTCCCTAGTGAATTTTCTTTAGTATTGATGCTTCTCCTGTCTATTTCATCTCATTATTTAGGTTCTCCAACGTACCAATCAGAGTTTTCTCTAGGTTTCTTAGACACTTAACTAGGCCGGTCTTTACAGATAATAGATGAGATGACTTGGTCTAAATGTTTATTCGAGTGCATTGGCTTTTTATAAACAAGCTTTCATTCATGGCACAAACCAACAATCAACGAGTATAAGAATTAGTGCTACATCCTGGTTTGGCCACTCTTAGCTGCTTTCCAATTAAATCTGACTATCAACTGCATTTTAGGGTAAACGACAGATACGAATGCATGTGTTTCAGCGACTTCAGCTGACAGTGGATTATAACTTTCTGAGTGACTTGTCCATCTTACCTAAGACTGCGTTTAACTTACACAGCAGACATCATATGCACCTCAAAAGCAGCGCTAGCCAAATAATTGGAGACCGAACAGATCCCACCTCTCCAATGTTCATATTTCCCAGAATAAAAAGTATTGGTGAGTTGTAAATCAGATCGTGAGCCATATGTGAGACAAAATGACGAAAGCCACGCAATCCATTTGCATCTGTGTCAAGATTTCGCCGGCTATCAATGCTTTCGAGTACGTTGTTTCAAAGCATAAGTTAGGGTTTGTGTAATTATGGAAACTAGGATTTTAGGAAGTACAATAGTCAAGCTAATTCCTGTGTAACTACATGATTATTTTTTCCTGATGACTGTGAGAACCAGTGAGTAAAACTAGTCAGAGGGCATCATATTTAATGTACATAACACTGGCTGAAATCTTGATCAGTTTACTTCATAATTCTGGTTCGCACAGCTACATTTAAAAACAGCCAACGATTTCAAAAAACAAAAATTCATGTCTTCAATATGTTAGTTTTTAATAACAATAATTTACCTCTATATACTTAAAAATCTCTTCGATTTCGTTGTGTGAAAGAACTCCAATAAGCGGATGTTTGTATTTCTAAATTCACAGCATAAATCAATCATGAATGGTCACATACCTCAATCAACATTTTCAAAACATCAACATAATTCTTCTCTGTATCCACTATTTCTCGAATACAACATGTTCGCGCGGTTGTGGGCTCAGAGTTTAAATTCTTTATTGATTTAGAATTGCCTTATAAAAACAAAAAAGAAAGTAAATTACTAGACGAGACTTTGATCCTTGGTACACAACTGTATCGTATAGTTTTTCCTTATTTTCTTCTTCTATTTGAGTAAAGTTAGTTTTTCCAGAATCTGGCAATTTGTTACTAAAATAATGGTAGTTATAGGATTTTTTGAAATGAAATTTCCTACATCGCAGCAGCGATCTCCTCGAGGTTGTTGTAATATTCGTGAGAGGACTGCAGCTTCGAATTCTCTGGTGGGAAACCACTAATCTTCGAAATAAAGAAAAATGTACATCAGTAAACACATACGTTATTCCAGTTAACTGAGCCCTTCTTGAATAGGATAACTTTGACAGTAGTGCGATGGCTTTTCCAAAGTTTTTGGCATGGTAAATATCACCTGGTTGAAACAGTAAATTTTTGGGGATATCGAATTCCTTTTCACATAGGTGTGTGAACAATCGAAGATTTTGAAAACATAAAAACTGAGAATTTTGAGGCATATGGCTAAAATCTTTCATCGATCTTATGTCTAGCTCATGATTTGACAATGTACTTAAAAGATGGCATAAAGCAACTCCATCCATAAGAGCCTGAACCAAGTGAATTGCATTGCCACCTGGTCCCAAAGCTGGATGATCGTCTGGGATAATTTGACATCGATTTAACCATTCTGCACATTGTCTCCAGTCATCTTCCTCCTCCATAGCGATTTTCTGAACTACTATAAAAAGAAAGGAATAAGTGAGCAACATAAATAAGGAAAATATATCTGCAACACAGACAACAAAGAGACTTATTAAATTCTTGCCAAAAATTAATCTACAGTTTTGATTTTTAAAAAGAGATAAATTCGTATGATTGAACTGCGATGAGAATTACTTAATAGATGCAGACAAGCAGCTCGAAATCAAAAATAGTTTATTTTAATCCAAGCTCAATAACATAGAAGCTGAAAACCAGCCAAATTCTAATAAAATAAAATATGAAGCTAGTAGCAACGTCAAAATAACAAAATCAACCATAGACAAGAGAACCAGACCCCAACCGAGCCCTAGTCTGACAAACTAAATGAATTCCGACTGCCTACTCACGATTTGCAAAACCAGGTGTGTTTCTCCTGAAAAGTTACGTCGAATATGGTCTCTGACCAAGATGTGTACTTACGCTTTTCCCCAAACTCGTTAGTACTTCATTTTGTCATCCTATAGTATAAGCTGCTGCTGCTGCTGGATTCAACATAGAACTTGGCACCGAAGTGCAGCAGTTCGAGTTGCCACGTTCCAAATAGCACACAAAGGTAGACAGGAAAAGGAGAGAAGAGAATCAATAGAATTTAGATAAGTATAAGAGTGAAACAGAATGAGTAATGGTAGAAAGGAATATGAAGATTAAAGAGACTGAATACATCTGCGCCATTGACAACGATTTTGAGCCATGTCACCTATTGTTTCCAGCCATTGATTCTTAGAGTCCCGAGGGCCCCAACCCGGAAGTCTGCATCTCCCTACCTGACTCAGTTTAACTGTCAGGGATTTCATGGATTGATGCCATGTTACCCAACCCAATCCTATGACTTCAAATATAGTATAAGCATTACTTTGTGATCGTTCAAATCTTGATATCATCTGTAAACAGCAAGGAAGGTTGATAAATAAGTTATATATAGCAGAAGTGGCGATAGGCCTAGAACGGTGCCATGTGGGACCTAAGTCTAACCCTAAACCAACGTGTTATATTATCTGACCCGGAACGTTTTGTTTCACTATGCACTTGCCGGTAGAAGAGCTTATCAAATGCTCTGTTAAGGTAGATGAATACATCATCAACCGGTTGATTACCTTCCCAAGCTTCTACCTAATTTTCCCTAACTATCAGTAACTTTGTGTTAGCATGATCGTTCTGATTTGAATTCATGCTATTCTTCCGTCAATAATTTCGGTTTCTCCTCCATACGAATTACTATTAGCTCCCTAACGAGATTTTTCTTTCCTTTAGCGACAACGAATGACAGATTCACAGGTTGTCAACCTGATACTAATTGCCTGTTTCCCTGTTTGAAAATAGGGTTGATAACATCTTTCTAATCCCTTGGTAGCTTAGATTGAAACGGAGACATTGAAAGTACCTGTAAGAGGTAATTATATAAAATAGATTGAGGAGAATAGTAGTCTATTTCGTCAGGCTCTAGCGGTTTATCTGGCCTTAGTTCAGACGGCTGCCAGAGCACTACTGCACCGTATGCCACCGCAAGGGGCATCTGTATGACGTCAATAGTAGCCTCGCTATGTCAGACGATCGAACACAAGATAAGTATTCGCAGACGTTTCCGGCCTTCGCTTTCTATGACTCAGCCACCACATAAAATGATTACAACGAGTGTGATACGACTGTTTACTTTAGGCCGACGTTCCAAATGTATATATGAGTACAACCTTTTTATGAAAGTTTAGGCAGTCCAGTATTAACGACTTGCTATCTATGCAACCTTTTATAACCATAAACTTGCACAGGTTCTTGATTTTGAATTATTCTCATTAGAGCTCCTCCCTTAATGCCTCGGTTAACTAGTTCCATGAACATTTTCGCTTCCTAAACAATCGATTTGTTTTCCTCTTTACGCTAACTGACTGAGTTTCAAAATAGAACTTGGCACAGAAGTGCAGCAGCTCAAGTTGCCACACTCCATGTAGCACATAAAGATAGAGAAGAGAAAGAGGGAGTTCAAAAGAACTATAATAAGCAGAAATGTGCAGCAGAACAAATAGTAACATGGAAAGCAAGGAAGGTTTAATTGATATCGGAGACTAAAAAATGTGAGTGTATCTGCACCAATGAGAAGGATTTTTAGCCACATGACTGACAGTCTCCTGCCATTGGATCTTAGCATCCAGAGACCCAAAGCAGGAAGTCTATACTGCCCCCCATGCCTGGCTCAAATTAACTGTCCAAGACTTCATTGATTGATGCCAAGTTTTGATTTTTTTTGTTTTGCTTGATTCCACACCGTATTTTTGGTACAAGTATGGAATTTTCAGCATGTGATATCGGTAGCCCAAATTTTGCAGGCCGGCCATTGATATCGGGTGTGCGTCGGCAGGGGATCGAACCCCGGACCATACGCATGGTCGGCGAGAGTCCTAACCGCTAACTGTTTCTCAACCTAACCTTATTTCATCTAACGTTGCTCACCGAAGCAGTTGGTAGCGCGGCATGCTCAACACTTGTCTTGGTCATTTTTAATCCGCTAGATTGACCTCATTGACTTTCCTTCCTCACCTAACACTATGTATAAACTCAGTATTGTACCCCACATTATACCACTTAACACATGAGATACTACAAAAACATCTGTGGTCAAAGACAGTTAGCGCTTTCATATCTTCCACTTTCAATGGGCACTTCTCACAGCCATCAGAGAGGATACAGCAGTACACACGTCCTTTTATCAATGACTTGATATCACGTCTACGCCAGAGATGATAAAATTTGGTATATGCCACAACACCCATTTGCAACCGAGCTGAGATGTCATCACCAATAAACCCCCTGGAGCTGATACGACATCTCAAGTAGGTGAAGTCGTCCCCACGGTCTACTGCTGAACTTCCCATCTTTGAAGGAGGATTCGGTGCAGTACAGGCCAACAACACCTCACGTTTGGTACGAGCGGAATCTCTAACGCTCCTATGGCCACACTTCATTAGAAATTGAATTGCGATATAATGAACGATGTAAACGCCTTGTTGATACAGCGTGTATAATTCGTTTCACACTTTAGGCCTTCATTCTGATCAGAAAAAGAGGAACGGTGAGGAATTACGGGTAGGTTAGTAACGATTCCCCTAACTTTACGACGTCATTATTGTGAGTCGCCATCTTCGTGTCCAGTTTTGAGCTCTGAGTTTGATTTTCCAGCATCACCCCCTTGTCAGGAGACAAATATCTTATACAACGCCCTGGCAGGTTCCTTTTATTAAAGAACAAAAAACTGAACAGAAAAGTGAAGCACTAGGTTACACAGATGTACAGGACAATGTCGAAGCCACTACCCAACATGTGTTCTCAACGATGGGGAAAACCTACCAAAGTGAAGATTGGCAATATTGATTTAATACACTTAAGCTAGTAAAGCGGAACTCGAGCTTTCGAAAACCATAGCTGAACACAGCAATATATGGATTTGCCAGATCTTCGAAACACGAACGTAAACAATAATAGCATCCAATAGCTTTTATAAATCCTTATAGTCGCGTAAAGTTGTTTCGACTTCTTGAATGACCATATGCAGCTTGTGTGGAATTACAAATGCGTTTTAAATTCGCAAAAATAACGGTGACTCCAACCTATAATGTGGGAGTAGAATTCGCGCACTATGGCGGAATATAGTTCCATATTAGGTAAGTTTACTTGATATAATACAGTGATACAGTATTATTTACTGACGACATTTCGAGCGCAATTTACTGCTCATAACAATTTATTCACATAGCTTCATAATCCGCTTCGTATACTTTTCTCTCTCCCTTGTTGCTTACTGTAACCAATCACCTAATCTTTTTCAATCGAACCAACGCCAAACGCGTGCAATCGAAATAACGTAACGCTTATATCCCGGACGTATGTAGAATTGCAATAAACAATGAAAAAAGTGAGGTAAATTATAAAGCTGTAAGTTTATGTGGTTATGAGCAACAAATTGTACTCGAAAAGTCATCCAGTTATTAATACTGCATCACTGTGTTATATCAAATAAACTTATCTAATATAGAAGAGTCACATTATGAACGTGGAGAAAATTAGATGGGCTGGAGACTATGATCAGTACTTTGTGATCAGCCAAAACACACGCAAAAGTACACACTGTATGTTGATAGGCTGAGATTTGTCAACATTTCCAGACCAATAAAGGTCTCACTTAGTGCAGGAATGTCGAGTTATTCCTTGGAAATCACACCACACTAAGTACAAGATATTTAGAACAAATGGTTATAGACTTCGAAATTCTGGTTCCTTAATTTAGACTGCGTTTTTTCCAAACCGGTGTGAATACTCATTCTTTGATCCTCTAGTGCAACCTCCACACAAAAGTACCTCAATGCGAAATTAGAAATTAATGTCTCACTTGAATGTAGATCCATGAATACTGAAGCCACAATCAGTAGATGGCATTTTTGTCAATCTTTGAAGTGTAATGGTTAAGAGTGAATGTATTTTGTTAGGAGTCTGATATGTGGGACTTTATGGAAGGCCTTGCTAACGTGGAGAAATAACGGTGTTACAAAACTCCCATTACCAATGCATTGTGTAATGTAGTCAAAATAATCTAAGTGGCAAGTAATGCACGACCTTCTACTCAAGAAACCGTATTAGGATGAGGATAGTAGGTCGTTAGACAGCAAGTAATGAAAGATTTGAGTCTTTACTAGTTTTTCCATTACGCGTGAAACTACAAACGTGATGTTGATGAGGCGGAAGTTGTTGATATCAGCTATAGGCCCATATTTATGGATAAGTAGAAAATAAGACTTCTTGCAGCAGGTAGGATATGTCCCTTCGCTTAATGAAATTGGCCAATTCACCACTTGCTCGTCATGCTATTCCAGCAAGCTTATAACTCATACGGCAACATAATAGAATAGATACCAGTGAAATAACTTTGAACCACCCAACCCTGTGCTTCTAGGTAAAAATGTGCCACTTGAAGCATAGAAGGTGGACCTGCTGATGATACAGATATATATGTAATAAAAGTGAGTTATGTAGGGTATATGTCACTAATATGCTGTGAAAAGAGGTCCCAGTTTTCCATAGGGGTGTCTATAGACATATACTATTCCAATCCTTGGACAGAATGTGTGTGAATGCCAGTTATAGGATTCATTACTTCTAACGAATGATCGACTTTATGATGAATACATCCTGACGATGTTGGTCACATTGGTCAGCATTTCAAATTGATAATGTCCATAATCTCCGCTGCAACTTCCATTCTAACCTTAACTCTACCGCTATTCTTCCTTGCAAGTTTCACCCTAGCCCTGATTCGTGGTGAAAATTGCGACGAAGATTATGGGAAGCATCCATTTGTAGTACTGAGAGATCTAATTAGTTGGCTCGAGGTCGTCCGGTTGTGGTATCTATTCCTTACTTTTGCCACCCATACATCATACGGTCTGTTCGGAAATTCGTTTCAGAAAAAACTACTTGAGCATCGATTCTGCCTGTTAGATATTCCAGGCAAGAATTCCAAAACTGAAATAAAACCCCAGATCACTTCGAGAAAATTGAGAATATGTTTATTACAAGAAAAAACAGCGAAATTAATGCAACGAGAGAACTACTTCGAGAGAAGGCAACGTCGTGGGCCAAATACGCACTCTGCACTTACAGACATACACTAGCCAAAAATTCGAAATCAGAGCCAAGCAAGGTTATATGTTTAGACCCTTTCCACGAAGTAATTAAACAAAGAAACAAACACTTTTTATAGGCATACTATTATCCAATGCTCGAAAGGAGCTGAAAAACCAACATGCGCATATCGCTTGATCACAGAAACGCTAAGCATTAGATAATAGTATGCCTATAAAAAGTATTTGTTTCTTTGTTTAATTACTTCGTGGAAAGGGTCTAAACATATAACCTTGCTTGGCTCTGATTTCGAATTTTTGGCTAGTGTATGTCTGTAAGTGCAGAGTGCGTATTTGGCCCACGACGTTGCCTTCTCTCGAAGTAGTTCTCTCGTTGCATTAATTTCGCTGTTTTTTCTTGTAATAAACATATTCTCAATTTTCTCGAAGTGATCTGGGGTTTTATTTCAGTTTTGGAATTCTTGCCTGGAATATCTAACAGGCAGAATCGATGCTCAAGTAGTTTTTTCTGAAACGAATTTCCGAACAGACCGTATGATGTATGGGTGGCAAAAGTAAGGAATAGATACCACAACCGGACGACCTCGAGCCAACTAATTAGATCTCTCAGTACTACAAATGGATGCTTCCCATAATCTTCGTCGCAATTTTCACCACGAATCAGGGCTAGGGTGAAACTTGCAAGGAAGAATAGCGGTAGAGTTAAGGTTAGAATGGAAGTTGCAGCGGAGATTATGGACATTATCAATTTGAAATGCTGACCAATGTGACCAACATCGTCAGGATGTATTCATCATAAAGTCGATCATTCGTTAGAAGTAATGAATCCTATAACTGGCATTCACACACATTCTGTCCAAGGATTGGAATAGTATATGTCTATAGACACCCCTATGGAAAACTGGGACCTCTTTTCACAGCATATTAGTGACATATACCCTACATAACTCACTTTTATTACATATATATCTGTATCATCAGCAGGTCCACCTTCTATGCTTCAAGTGGCACATTTTTACCTAGAAGCACAGGGTTGGGTGGTTCAAAGTTATTTCACTGGTATCTATTCTATTATGTTGCCGTATGAGTTATAAGCTTGCTGGAATAGCATGACGAGCAAGTGGTGAATTGGCCAATTTCATTAAGCGAAGGGACATATCCTACCTGCTGCAAGAAGTCTTATTTTCTACTTATCCATAAATATGGGCCTATAGCTGATATCAACAACTTCCGCCTCATCAACATCACGTTTGTAGTTTCACGCGTAATGGAAAAACTAGTAAAGACTCAAATCTTTCATTACTTGCTGTCTAACGACCTACTATCCTCATCCTAATACGGTTTCTTGAGTAGAAGGTCGTGCATTACTTGCCACTTAGATTATTTTGACTACATTACACAATGCATTGGTAATGGGAGTTTTGTAACACCGTTATTTCTCCACGTTAGCAAGGCCTTCCATAAAGTCCCACATATCAGACTCCTAACAAAATACATTCACTCTTAACCATTACACTTCAAAGATTGACAAAAATGCCATCTACTGATTGTGGCTTCAGTATTCATGGATCTACATTCAAGTGAGACATTAATTTCTAATTTCGCATTGAGGTACTTTTGTGTGGAGGTTGCACTAGAGGATCAAAGAATGAGTATTCACACCGGTTTGGAAAAAACGCAGTCTAAATTAAGGAACCAGAATTTCGAAGTCTATAACCATTTGTTCTAAATATCTTGTACTTAGTGTGGTGTGATTTCCAAGGAATAACTCGACATTCCTGCACTAAGTGAGACCTTTATTGGTCTGGAAATGTTGACAAATCTCAGCCTATCAACATACAGTGTGTACTTTTGCGTGTGTTTTGGCTGATCACAAAGTACTGATCATAGTCTCCAGCCCATCTAATTTTCTCCACGTTCATAATGTGACTCTTCTATATTAGATAAGTTTATTTGATATAACACAGTGATGCAGTATTAATAACTGGATGACTTTTCGAGCACAATTTGTTGCTCATAACCACATAAACTTACAGCTTTATAATTTACCTCACTTTTTTCATTGTTTATTGCAATTCTACATACGTCCGGGATATAAGCGTTACGTTATTTCGATTGCACGCGTTTGGCGTTGGTTCGATTGAAAAAGATTAGGTGATTGGTTACAGTAAGCAACAAGGGAGAGAGAAAAGTATACGAAGCGGATTATGAAGCTATGTGAATAAATTGTTATGAGCAGTAAATTGCGCTCGAAATGTCGTCAGTAAATAATACTGTATCACTGTATTATATCAAGTAAACTTACCTAATATGGAACTATATTCCGCCATAGTGCGCGAATTCTACTCCCACATTATAGGTTGGAGTCACCGTTATTTTTGCGAATTTAAAACGCATTTGTAATTCCACACAAGCTGCATATGGTCATTCAAGAAGTCGAAACAACTTTACGCGACTATAAGGATTTATAAAAGCTATTGGATGCTATTATTGTTTACGTTCGTGTTTCGAAGATCTGGCAAATCCATATATTGCTGTGTTCAGCTATGGTTTTCGAAAGCTCGAGTTCCGCTTTACTAGCTTAAGTGTATTAAATCAATATTGCCAATCTTCACTTTGGTAGGTTTTCCCCATCGTTGAGAACACATGTTGGGTAGTGGCTTCGACATTGTCCTGTACATCTGTGTAACCTAGTGCTTCACTTTTCTGTTCAGTTTTTTGTTCTTTAATAAAAGGAACCTGCCAGGGCGTTGTATAAGATATTTGTCTCCTGACAAGGGGGTGATGCTGGAAAATCAAACTCAGAGCTCAAAACTGGACACGAAGATGGCGACTCACAATAATGACGTCGTAAAGTTAGGGGAATCGTTACTAACCTACCCGTAATTCCTCACCGTTCCTCTTTTTCTGATCAGAATGAAGGCCTAAAGTGTGAAACGAATCATACACGCTGTATCAACAAGGCGTTTACATCGTTCATTATATCGCAATTCAATTTCTAATGAAGTGTGGCCATAGGAGCGTTAGAGATTCCGCTCGTACCAAACGTGAGGTGTTGTTGGCCTGTACTGCACCGAATCCTCCTTCAAAGATGGGAAGTTCAGCAGTAGACCGTGGGGACGACTTCACCTACTTGAGATGTCGTATCAGCTCCAGGGGGTTTATTGGTGATGACATCTCAGCTCGGTTGCAAATGGGTGTTGTGGCATATACCAAATTTTATCATCTCTGGCGTAGACGTGATATCAAGTCATTGATAAAAGGACGTGTGTACTGCTGTATCCTCTCTGATGGCTGTGAGAAGTGCCCATTGAAAGTGGAAGATATGAAAGCGCTAACTGTCTTTGACCACAGATGTTTTTGTAGTATCTCATGTGTTAAGTGGTATAATGTGGGGTACAATACTGAGTTTATACATAGTGTTAGGTGAGGAAGGAAAGTCAATGAGGTCAATCTAGCGGATTAAAAATGACCAAGACAAGTGTTGAGCATGCCGCGCTACCAACTGCTTCGGTGAGCAACGTTAGATGAAATAAGGTTAGGTTGAGAAACAGTTAGCGGTTAGGACTCTCGCCGACCATGCGTATGGTCCGGGGTTCGATCCCCTGCCGACGCACACCCGATATCAATGGCCGGCCTGCAAAATTTGGGCTACCGATATCACATGCTGAAAATTCCATACTTGTACCAAAAATACGGTGTGGAATCAAGCAAAACAAAAAAAATCAAAACTTGGCATCAATCAATGAAGTCTTGGACAGTTAATTTGAGCCAGGCATGGGGGGCAGTATAGACTTCCTGCTTTGGGTCTCTGGATGCTAAGATCCAATGGCAGGAGACTGTCAGTCATGTGGCTAAAAATCCTTCTCATTGGTGCAGATACACTCACATTTTTTAGTCTCCGATATCAATTAAACCTTCCTTGCTTTCCATGTTACTATTTGTTCTGCTGCACATTTCTGCTTATTATAGTTCTTTTGAACTCCCTCTTTCTCTTCTCTATCTTTATGTGCTACATGGAGTGTGGCAACTTGAGCTGCTGCACTTCTGTGCCAAGTTCTATTTTGAAACTCAGTCAGTTAGCGTAAAGAGGAAAACAAATCGATTGTTTAGGAAGCGAAAATGTTCATGGAACTAGTTAACCGAGGCATTAAGGGAGGAGCTCTAATGAGAATAATTCAAAATCAAGAACCTGTGCAAGTTTATGGTTATAAAAGGTTGCATAGATAGCAAGTCGTTAACGCTGGACTGCCCGGGCGCTTCGTTGCATTCTCCCGAAATAATTTTCACACTCTGGAATATCGTGGTCTATATTTGACTACTATAAATTTATAACTGATATTGGTGGAACCTCCGGTAGCTCAATATCCAAGTTTATTTCAGCCAGAATACTGTTTGTATCCAGTCGAATTCGTGTGAATATAGATCAATCTATCAATGGTCAATAACTATCGGTTTTAAGTCGTTTGATGGTGGTCTATTTTTTGTTTGTATTTTTTTGCATTCATACCCGTTTATTGTTGCTTTATCTATTTAAATAATATAATAGCATTTCACACACTTTTTTGAGAAATTGATATTATCTTAACCTTCATAATGCTGAAAGTTGTTGAACGAGTTAGTACTTTTAAGGGACTAGCATCAAATAGTCAGCAGCTCACTAAAAACATTAGTGCTGACGACGAATTCGCACTTAGATCAATTTATATATATAGATATTTATTCCTGTTTATGCAGGAACATACCAATTGTACAGGCATGGATAAGTTATTATATAAATTACAGTTTGTTTGTTCAATCTAACATTAGAGTCAGTCAGAACAGTCTGCAAAATATTCTGTCTGTGTAACACATAAAGAGATATAGAAATATTGTCTTCGCATTAACAAAAAACCCAGACTTCAGATGAGTGTGATACAAATATCTGGGAAAAATAAAGCTTGAAGTCAATTCTCCTATGAAACTTTGTTGTGAACAGCATCCGTGAGATAAAGTTTATTGATGTATTATTTTGATTCAATAATGTATTTATTCCATTTTTGTCAGCAGTCTTATCGTAGTTTTATAATAGGAAAGAGATTTGATCTTTGATACGAAAGTTAGATAAGGTAGTGTTAGATTGTTTTACTGCATCAAATGGGGTCAATTCTAGAACTATCCATTTGCGCCATTTGCGTCAGCATGGCAGACTGTACATGTAAGTTGAGTAATACATTGATAACTGTTTGAAAACCAGTTGCTTCTTTATTTCAGATCAAGAATACTCCTTGTACAGAATGTTAGCCAGCGTTTTCAAGTGGTTGCATCGGATCGTTCATGGAATTTGAGTTTGAATTTACATAAATGGTCATTTCAGTTTGGATGTTGGGTTGTTCGACCTCAACCAGGAGGTATATAGAAGTTTACGCTCAGCAGGGAGATAAAGTATGTAAATATAAACCGAGAGTTATGGTATCTAACTTAGAACCAATTGATAAGGTAGCCCGTTACACTAGCGATTTGCAGATCGTTCATAAATCCATATCAGACCTGCAGGATAAATTTTGAATTTTGGTTGGTAACATAGAGAGAATTTAAAATCACCAGAGTAACGGAGACCGAGGTCAAGTACAGAAGGAAAAATAATGATTGGCTTATCGTATATAGTCATGTGGTGCGATACGCGTGCGAGCTGAGCATAACAGACCACCCTTCTCCACGTTGACCTGCATCATCCGCGACTTATATCAGGTCTCAGTATGGTCAGTATCCAATTGAATTTTATGAAATGGATTTGTCACTTATGTGTGATACTCTAGTAGACCACCTTCAAGCCATGCTTTGTAACATCACAGACGTCATTTAGGTATATAGCAAAGAAGAGATGCCCTAGTACACTGACTTGAATTACGTCACTTGATATATGAGTAGTACTGGAAAAAGTGCCGTTAATCTTGACAGAATGGGACCTACAACAAATAAATGAGTTTTAGTTGGTTGGGATTTGATTGGTTACACGACTGCACTGGATTACACCACTGCAAGAGATTGCCAGATATAACGTAAGCCTTTAGTATTTTCTGGAGTAAACTATAACATACTTTATCGAATGCCTTATTGAGATCAGCTCGAGAATTAAACATGAATTTACTCCTAACATCTATAAGCCTGCCCAGCTTCTTGCCAAGATGCTACCCATGGGCCATATGCAAGTTTGCCAGGCATCTTACAGGTCAGCACACCTAACAGGTTCTAATACTTCAAGCCACTTCTTTCTGAAATGTCACTTAAATAATTCACGACAATCCTTCTATCTAATTACTATTACACTCTATCTTATATCAACTACCTAGGCCTTCAATAAATCTGAAATTTACTCTTTTCATTCACAATCGTCGCTCGCATAAAATTTGGTTGCTCTGATCAAGAAAAACAACACCAATGTTTGGGAATAATATGTTTTATATGGTGCAAAATTTGTTCCTGTTTATGCAGGAACATACCAATTGTACAGGCATGGATAAGTTATTATATAAATTACACATGTTTCGATGTATGTTGAATTTACAGTTTGGTTGTTCTTTCTGACATTAGAGTCAGTCGGAACAGTCTGCAAAATAGTCTGTCTGTTTAACACATAAAGAGATATAGAAATATTGTCTTCGCATTAACAAAAACCCAGACATCAGATGAACGTAATACAAATATCTGGGAAAAATAAATCTTGAAGTCAATTCTCCCATATAACTTTTTTGTGAACAGCATCCTTCAGATAAAGTTTATTGATGTATTATTTTGATTCAATAATGTATTTATTCCATTTTTGTCAGCAGTCTTATCGTAGTTTTATAATAGGAAAGAGATTTGATCTTTGATACGAAAGTTAGATAAGGTAGTGTTAGATTGTTTTACTGCATCAAATGGGGTCAATTCTAGAACTATCCATTTGCGCCATTTGCGTCAGCATGGCAGACTGTACATGTAAGTTGAGTAATACATTGATAACTGTTTGAAAACCAGTTGCTTCTTTATTTCAGATCAAGAATACTCCTTGTACAGAATGTTAGCCAGCGTTTTCAAGTGGTTGCATCGGATCGTTCATGGAATTTGAGTTTGAATTTACATAAATGGTCATTTCAGTTTGGATGTTGGGTTGTTCGACCTCAACCAGGAGGTATATAGAAGTTTACGCTCAGCAGGGAGATAAAGTATGTAAATATAAACCGAGAGTTATGGTATCTAACTTAGAACCAATTGATAAGGTAGCCCGTTACACTAGCGATTTGCAGATCGTTCATAAATCCATATCAGACCTGCAGGATAAATTTTGAATTTTGGTTGGTAACATAGA